ACAACATCGTGCAAGTCATTGCGTTGCCAAACATCAAGAATTTGGTGGTCATCCCAATCTGTCATCACACGCGAAAGGCAGTGAGAATAGACGCTGATGTTTTGTATCGTATGATGTGCGAAACCGGTACCATTCCGCGTGATGAATATGGTCGGCAACATACAGTGGGCCACGTCACGTCAAAATCAAATCAAGCGTATTATTTCAATATTATTTTTAACATGGAGAAAATCAATCGAGTGTTGAAAGCAAACAAAAAATTCGAACATATTCTCAGCGATGGTGTATCGGCATCGATTCTGTACACAGTGAAGAAAACCGTTGTCGATAAGTTAGTGGAAGATGGTTTGGTACGTAAACGGTACTCTGATGGCTTCTTTGTCTATGAATTGGGCATCGATTGGGGCATGAAGACGTGGAATGCAACCGTTAGGCGACGAATTAATAATGACAAAGAGCGAATTCATAATGGCAAAGAGGTATGTTAGCGATTGAATGCATTCTATTGTGATTGTGTCATGTGAATCCATTTCATTGTTTAATTTTTATTGTTCGATTTGAACTCAAATGAACAGTCAAGCATTCATTTATACTAACAAATTACACTTTTTCCAGTACGCAAATCCTTTCTGTGGGAGTTAACCGTGTACCAAAATTAACTTTTTCCCATTTTCTTGTGCATACTCAAATTAAATAAAGATGAAATTTAAATTGTCTATCAATAAACAAAATTCAACAAATTGAATAAAATTCTTGAAATTTCCTTAAGAATTGAATGAAGATTTAGGGAAAACGACCGGTATATGTATAATTCCCCTGAATGTCCCCAGAAACATTTCTGTTTCAATTTTCTATAGTGAAAATGATATTTGGATACAAAGCTGGCCCCTGTTGAATGTGTTAATATTTCTATTCATATTTTCTAAACAAAATGTCCATTTTGAGTATAATGTATTTCCAGTTGAAAACACCAGCTCGAAATTTTTGGACATCTTTTAAGGTAAACTCACTATAGTGAGATCAGGCACAGCTTGTTGACACTGGAAATTGATTCCGTGTCAAAGATTTATTTTTGAGGGTGATTACACCAATACGCACGACATGAACATGTTGTATAAAAGTAAGAAAATGAAAATAAAAATCAAACGCATCAGTTCATTGTTATTTTTCCTTCTCGTTTTATTAGCCTTCTTGAAAATTTGAAATCAATTCAGATGTTATAAATATAGTTGTGTTCGCAATCTAGTTTTGTTTAATAGTTGGGAAATATTTGTGTATTGAAAAATCAAACTCTGGCGAGCATTTTGATTCTTTTTTGTGACCATTTGCTAGGAGATTCATCACAACATAGTTGATTTTGGCAATTTTGATAATATCCACAATCTGAAACGAAAATACAAATGATGGACATTAGTTCATTCAATTCTAAATAGAATAAATTTTGAATCCAATAAACAGAAAAAAAAACCATTCAATTGAACATGGCGTGTGGTTTGTTGACAAACCTCAGCATCAGCATTTGGAATCACTTCCAAAAGGGTGCGAGCCCTGTGAAAATAGTTGCTGGCATCTTGATACAAATTCATTGAGGATCGGTTCAGCGTGTAGCTGCGATATTCTCGGAATTGATTGTAGGATACGGGTGGTGGTGTTGTAAGTCCGAAAAACGGCGCGAAACGATGGTCAAATCGAACGCGTTCGTTGTCGAATGTGGACAGCGGTTGAGGAATTCGATCATCTCTGGTAAAACCAGCCAACGCCTGTGGACATAATAGCAAAACAAAATCAATTGCGACGATGATAAATGGGTCATAATTAAATCACTTACATTATAGTAACCGGAGAACATGTTCTTCAATGCCTGGCTAAACATAACCTCGCGACAGTAGAGTTTCATGGATTTCTTTTTGGCTTTTGGTTTTTTCGATTTGGTTGATGGCTTTTGCATTTGATCCGCCAAGCATTCGGCTCTGGTCAATGTGGTTATGAGCCAATTGTAGAGATAATCCGATAAATACCAATAAATATACATGTATTCATGCACGCTATAGAGCTCCAGCTCAAGCCCGGACAGCAAATACATTGCCATGGCGCGCAGACAGTGGTACAACACCCATGTGCTGAAATATGGACGACGATCGGCTTCATCCGGATTCAATTCATACAAATAGGTATCGACCCGTTCCGCCTCATCCTGTAAACTGGCAAAATCGTCCAAGAGTCTGGCCAATTTGTCACGCTGCCGAGCACGATTGTAACCGCATATTTGAATGAACATCACAAACGAATACATGTTCATACAGTATTTCAAAAAGGTTTCAATGCAGAATTTCACCTGTGGAAGCGAAAATATGCAGTTAAATTGGCTTCGTTGTGATGAGTTCAACTAAATATGTTTCATGAAAACTCGGAATATTATTGTTTCGGAATTATTCTTGAATTTTCTTCAAAAATTGTTGTTACGAACTAAACCGAAAAGTGTGTTAAATGCCAATATTGTTGGCAATCTGACTTACCGGTGCACTTGATGTGAAATTATTCCGAAGCGTCAGAACGGTCGGCGCACAAAATAGTTTCACTGAATCGCGGAGCATATCTGTGACCGGTGTCACACCGAAAATCATATTCGGTTGTGGGAAATACAAACACTGTAGAATACTACGTGATAATAAACATGGTCCCGATTTTTTACTAAACTCAATGAAGAAATTCTGTGGAATAAATGTGGGGAGTTGGGAGGTATTGTTAGTTTTTTTGTGTCTCTAGGCAATTTTCAGATAGAATTTTAATGTTAATCGAAACGTACCAATGCGCTATGGTAATTGACACAATGAACAATTTTACAGGCTTGCTTTGTGCGATGCACCAATTCTTCAAGAAATGATATGCTAAAATCTCTCTCTTTGATTTTGGTGTAACGAGGAAAGGTGGGTGGCAAGATTCGCTGATTGACAGTCGGTGAGAAACCCATGGGATTGGGTGCATCGTCTATTTTAAAATTGGATTGATTTTATTTTTGATAATGTTCAATTGAAATTCATGAACAAAAAGCAAAATGAAGCATGAACTCACCATTTGGATCTGCTTGGGTACCTAAGCTAATTGTTCGTTTTATCAACGGAATGAGATCAGCAGCACCATTTAGTAGGCGAACAATTTCATTCATCTCTTGTTCATTGGGCGATACACTTTTGCTCGGCGCTAACGCTGACAACGCTTGCAAAAACAGTCTCAAGAACTTTAGTCTACCAATTATTGCTTGTGACGCCTGAAACGATGCGATTTTTGAAAAGAAAATACAAACGAAATGAATTTAAGTTTTAAAATGATAAAACAGTTTTCAATTGAGACGAACTTGACAGAATTTCAAAATATAAACATTTTTTTCTATTCTAATTGTTAATAAAACACAGTGAGTATGGAATTGTTCGCAAATTTATACGAGATACACCTATGCTTTACGGTGATCCCACCTGAACTTGCAATTTGTTTGCTTTTGGCCAATTTTGTTCAGCATTTTTTTTTCTACACATATAATCATCGATGGAAATTATATAATATAGAATTAGTTTTTGAAAAGAAAAACCAGACATTGGCCAAAAGTTTAGGGGTTTTACACTTTATGTCTTACAGAAAACACATTTTTGAAACTATTAAATTACTAAACAAATCTAATCTATTGGATAAAATTGATTTGCCATATCAAATGTATCAATTGTCTTACTTCGGCTCCTTCCGCATTATCCGGATTAGCTTTTAGCTGTTTGGTTATCTCATCTTCGGCTTCTTTTAACATGAAGCATGCTTTAGTATTGGCAATGTCTGGCGTTAAGACATAGCCATAGTCCCTTGGATCAAAATCTTCTTCTTCAAACACTTTGGCACTATCAATTTAAAAAAAAATGTAAATAATTTAGAAAAAACGATTATTTAATTTTTGGAATGAAATTGGAACCTATTCCCTCTATACATAATGCACCGAAAAATAGAATCGATAAACCCATCTCAATTCGAGTGTAAAAAAATAAAACTCACTGTAGCACAAATTTCCGCACGATTTGTGTTAATTTATGCATTGCACAGCAAAATGCCCGCAGCGTTTTGTCTTCAATGCTATTCGGCTGATGTAGGTACAAGCAGGTGAACATTGTTTGAGCCAATGAATGTCCATCCAACCATGAGACTAGACAAGCATAGATACCATCCATAATTCCAAGCAATTCGCTTGTTTCGAATGAACCCAATTTCATTTTGTTATTCTGATAGAGAGAGAGAGAGAAGGAAAGGACGGAAATTGTGAAAAAATGAAAGAAAATTCTAGCGTTTTGAGCCTTAAATGGTTTAACGATGTGAAGAATTTCGACAATTGATCATTGGTCAAAAGAATATTCTTCACCGAATTATACCAGTATCACCGAGTCAATTTTCCACCGAGTTTTCACCAAATGATTGAATTAACCATTGAATTCTACTTACTGCGATGGCTGTTTCGAACGTAAGCGGACCGCCTGGATTTTTATTGCAACACATGCCCGCGTCCATTTTCGGATCCATCATTTCAATAGCTGACATGGCTTCGAATAAACCAAACAACTTCTGATGATGCACCAATTCGCCAAGTTGTAGTTCTGTTCAGAGAAAAATCAATCACAGATTTCCATGATAGAACCATGGGTTCTAGGTCGATAACAATTTCAACGTGAACAATTGCATTACCTTTGACTGCTTCAAAGAATTCTTGTGTAATGTCTTTCCATTCATAGCACATTTTTATCGGTAACAGTGGCTCTTCTTTCTTCGACTCGTCCTCAGTAGCCGATGCATTATTGGCATTGCTCTCCGAATCTTCGATCGAAATGGCAACTAAACCTTCGCTCAAATCAGCTGCTATCGCACTAGAAATATCAAATGAAACACATTTTTCTCAGTAAATAATCAATTTAAAAAAATCATCCAATTAGTTTTATATACTTGTCCAAGTCCGTGCTGGTTTTCATGATTTTGTGATTTTTCTTCTATTTTACTGCTTAAACAATACAAAATGTATTCTAATTTTTTTTCGGATGAGTTGAGAATTGTCAAATTGATATTGAACCCAAATGTCGAGTGCACGATTGACAGATGCAAACATATTCACTTGACCCACAAATAGATGGCGCTTCATGTATTTGTCATCGTATTTGTGTAGCGAGAACAAGCACGTGAGTGGACGAACGGACAGTGTTCAAATTGTTGATTTGGATTTTCTCCGGGACGAAAAAAAAATGAGTAAAGATTGTGTGGATTTGGGATTTTTGGAAAAATGTGAACCATGGCTGTTGACGAATACATTTTTTCCCAGCAAAGTTGGAGGTCGACCCGCTTGGTTAGACATCGAATCCATTCCATCGAATGACAGATTGAAGTGTGCCGAATGTGAAAAACAACTAGATTTCTTGTGCCAAGTAATTTGAATGATGTTTCATTGATTTTAGTTTGGGGATTTAATTCATTTATCATTTCAATAGGTGTACGCTCCACGCGATGAGTATGAAACTTGTTTCCATCGAACAATATATGTCTTCATTTGTCTTGATCCTCTCTGCTGGAAGCCAAATTCATCCAAGTATGTTACGTATTTTTTTTTGTCTACACAATTGTTTCCGTGTAAACAAAATTGTGTTATCGTTTGGCGACTGCCGGTCATTTTGAGTCAGATCATCAAAAATCAGCACTTGGATTAGTTTTTAACCATATTTTGCCGAATGTCAGTTGGATTCTAACGTAATTCTCTATTAGAGAATTTCCAATGCTTTTTTCTCATTTTATTTGGATTTTTTTTTCCTAATTTTTTCGTTTTTTCTCCAATTAGAATTTTTGTGCCATTCAATCTCTTTTGAATTTTTTTAATCAAATCTTTTTATAATTTCATTGATCAACGCTCTACATCTCTGAACAGATGAGTCATTTGGTTTCGAAATTGGAAATAATTTCGCTCTTTTTCCTTTGCAGCACCATCAAAGTGTTTCGATGTCAATTACCGAGAGAGAACAAATACTATGAAGCGACACCGCCAAATGAGGATGAACCATCGGTATGTGTCCTCTCAGTCATTTGTGCTTCCCACTGATTCCGGTTTCTTATTTCTGGCAGATTTTATTGCATTTTAAAAATATTATCTTTAAACGTTTATTTTCGTATTTCAATGTTTTTTTTCTTTGCAACCCTCTTTGGGCCTTCTTTAGGACGAAATAATTGGCTCAGTGAAACTGTGCCAAGTTTGCGGTTGTCGTGGTCCACTAAGTTGTGGTGCTTGTAAATCGGTGAATTACTGTAGCAAAGAGCATCAAAAAATCGACTGGAGCCTAGGTGAACACAAGGCATTATGTGGTGGAAATATAAAACCGTCACCGGGTAATGAAAAACACCAGTATCTTCTCGAGGAGTTTGACTTAGTTACGGAGCCGGAGGAAGCGAGTGACTCCAATGATGCGGAAAATGAGGAAGATCAAGAGGCTCGCCGATTGAAAGACTACGAAGAATTCGTACGAAAACAGAAAGAACAAGCCACCGACGACACATTGACCAATGTGCCCGACGAAGAGTTTGAAAAATACACAAATCAAATTGATGACGATAAAGATTTCCATCGATTTAAAAAACGAATCGCTGCCGATCCGGAGCAAGTGCTTCGTTTCGATCGAGGTGGCAAACCATTGTGGATAACCAGCAAAAATCAGCCGGAACTCAGCGCCATTCCTGCATGCGACATTTGCAACGAACCCAGAGTATTTGAATTTCAAGTAAGTTTTGAGCAATGCTCATCCATACAAACAAAGAGTTAAGCCTATTTTTCTGCAAATTTGATTTGAACTAAACAGAAGCGAATCCATTCAATATTCCACAGATTATGCCACAGCTATTGAATTCGTACAAGGAATTAAACATTGACTGGGGCATCATAGCCATTTACACATGCGAACAGAGTTGCAACACAAATGGAAATTATGTGGATGAATACTGTTACAAACAGGACATTTGTGAAACGGTTGACGAGGAAAAGCATTGAAATGATGATTTTCATTTTGCAAAACATTATTATTGTTAAGCTAATCACAAGACTCATTTCTTTTTTGTATCAATTTGTTAATTCCAGCCTGTGGTGATTTAAAACAAATGCTTATGCATTATCTCTATCATTTGAAATTATTGAGAAATCGCTTTTATCATGTCACACACGGCAATTTTGAAAGCCATTATTCTCAGAAATGTTGATTGCGACACAGTGTTTGCTATGGATTTATCTCATTGAGAAGTGTGCGTGTGTTTTTTTTATGATATCACTGAATAGGTGACATGAATTCACGTTAAACGGATCACGATTGTTAAGATTGATATGTTTTGAGATTATCTTCAAGCTACGAAAATGGGCAAAAGAGGAGGAGAAGAGAGGGATTTGTAAATAAAAGAACTATGAACAAGTCGAAATCAAAGAAATTTTCTTTTTATTCTCTTATAATATTTTTTTTTGTTTCGTTTTTTTGTTGTTGCTCTTTTTCATTTCTTCTAAATCAAGCGCAAATATCAAGAAATTTTCAGTCCAGAACAACATAACAACAACTAAAGGTGTATCTATCACTGAGATGTAAGATGATATGGTCGCTGAGGGAGAGAGTGAGAGAATCAGCAAATAGAAAGAGATATGGTAACCATATAAATGGTGTCTGTATATGTTTAATTGATGTGAATATATATGTTTGCCAGTAAAAATACATGAGTCTAAAAACAACATGTACAACATGTTACATCTTCGGTTTTGTTTATTTAATTTCGCTTAAAATTAATGAGGGAAGAGCATTCGGCTCTGAGCGATTTCATTTAATTTGGCTGTAAATGGGTTGCACGCGCGTATTAAAAATCTCAAACAAATAATCCATGGACAAATCTATTGAACATTTGCATTATTAAACCTATATGTGGTTTGTTTTATACTTTGAAATTGATTGAAATCACGTGCTAATGACTATTATATAGTAATCACTGGTTTCGAACGGCAGGGCGTGGGGTGAACAACAAAAATGCTTAAATACTGCAACTTACTAAAAAAAAATCTATAAACAATATCGCATAACTTAATTCGAATCTAGTTATCTCATATTTTATTCTATGGTCATTCTACATTGTTGCGCAGAAATCAACCAGAGCAAATGGTCTTTCGCCGAACACAGAGAAAGGATTTGAAAGAGACAAATGAACCCATAACTCTAGATTGGAAATCTTCATCTCATTTGGCGCTTCGTAAAAAAAAAATGTACACACATCTCAGTTATAGCACCTTTTTTTGGATAATTCAGTCGTAACGGCTAAAAGTTTAATGATATGGGCGCTACTAAAAAAAAGATTTATAATAAATTTTAATACAAACGAAAAAAAAACCGAAAGAAAATGGAGAGAGAGAGAGAGAAAGAGAGAGGAGAAAAACCTCAATTGGAAAACAATAATTAGACATAATCGAAGCGATTGTCGCCGCTTACATCATGGTGTCGTTGTAATAAGTTCATGCATTGGAATAGACAATGTGTACTGGCCGCCGATATGGCCTTTAATAGCAACAAATCTGGATCCGTGGCATTCAATGGCGGTTCAACATTTTCAATGGCCCTTGTTAGCATTGCATTGCTGCAGCGAAGAGAAATAAAATTGGTTAATTCAGGAGAAAAAGAAGACATTTTCGGTAATTTTAGTGAAGAATGCGTTGAAATTGCCAATGAAAGAAAATTCGTCATTCTCACCATAGCTCTGTGTTTTGAAGCTGTTGTCGTGCTTCACCAAACGCATCTGATGCCGCAATTATTTCCCTTGGTGGCAGTAGCTCGAATTGTGAACCGATTGACTGAAATGAATTTGAGTTGTTTCTTACAAATAAAAAATCACGTAAAATACGATTCGCAAATACAATCTCGGCAATTGTGCTAACACACAGAGATACAAAAACAAATGATATTAAAACCAAATAATTTTCGTCGGTATAAACAATGTGTAAGCATTTTGATGTGTCAAAAGTTAATACCTGTGTATGGCATTCGGCAATATTACGAAGTGCATCCACCCATTCTTGGCGTGCTCGTGCATTATTGGCTCTTAATTTCAATGTGTCACCGTTTGCCGTGCCAATGGTGAATGTGCGTGAATCTTCATCGCTTGGACAAACAACGGCACCAGCCAGATGCTCCTGCCATCGCGGCGTATTGCCGGCTATATTTGGCGGTGCCGTGTCCTCGGCACTGTTTTCACAGATATAATAGCTTAACGTTCCCGTCTGCGGATCGACCGTGAACCATCTATATTGCCATCCTTTATGTCAAGAAAAAACAAGAGAAAAAATGCGCCACAGAAAAAGAACAATCACATGTTAAAATTGACTCTCATGAAATGTCGTTCATCTCTTCTTTTTTTTATCAAATGCTTTATCATCAAAAGAATTTGTTTTCTTTCATCTTCTTTAGCAACAAAACAGAGCAATACACACACCAACCTTTAACCACGTTTGTGTATTTACATAATAGTCCGCTGATTTGTGTTTGTTTAATTCCGCCAATATTTCGGCCTGATACTGGTTGATCCATAGATTCCAAATTGATTTTGAGGAGACTTTCTCGTACGTGGTTTTCTATCTCTTTCTCTTTCTACAGTCACAACCAAAATTGAACCAAAAAACTCAACAAATGCCTAACACAAATGACATTCAACCATCATACGGTCACTTGCTAACAATATGGTTTAAATTATTTGATTTTTGATACCGACGAAAGAAAAAAACAACATCTATAACCTTGGAACTTGCTTGTATAACGTTGTTTCTTTTGTTGTTAAATAAATTCAAAGAGAGATATAGTGTGCGAACAAAATGGAAACAAAAATAAATAATTTGTTTCTCTCGAGGATCAAATCAAACAGAAACATGCACAATGCAACAATAAATACATGGATTTTTGGTATGACTTGATAAAAATAGAGTTGTCTTTAAACTTCTCTCTCTCTCTCTCTCTCTCTCTCTCTCTCTCTCTCTCTCTCTCACTCTCACCTTGATTGTGAATGACAGATGACACTTGGACGGAGGAGCTGAGCGCTGTGGTAGCCACTTCGATTTGGCGCAATAATTCAAAATTGATACCATACGTAACTGTTCCGCACACTTTTGGGTGGCTACAACAAAAATTTCGAGAGTGACTCAGTTTTTTTTGTCGTAAAATTGTTATGTAATGAATCACAATGAAATTTTATGGAATTTCATAATTGCTTGTTGCAACAACAACTCCAACAACAACAAAATCAGACGATTCTCGATGATTCAATTTGGAAGAAGTGAAAAACTTGCAGCAACTTTCATTACGTGTTTTTCTTCTTCAAATTTTATCATTGAAAAAACATTTCCATGGAAATCATGGTGAATGGGATTACGGATTATTATAGATAACTCGACTCGAAACCAAAAAGCGAACAGAATTCTTTGCGTTCGCGCGCTCACGTTCGCTCGTGATAAGAAATATGACAAATTTGCCATAAAAAAAACAATGAGAATGAGCTGTCTTTAGAGCATGGCGCATTTAAATAAATAGGTTTATTAAGTCGTTTTCCATTCTTTTTTTGGTTCTGTTTCTCCCATTATTAATAGGCGTTCGTGTGTATATTTAATGTTTCCGTTTCAATTTAAATGTTTGAGCATGAGACAGTAAAATTTTTGTCGTGTTTTATCCTCTCTTATCGGGATTTTTATCTTCATTTCGATGTGATGACTTTGTATTGGGTTATTTTTCTGCTCTCAAACAAAAAGAAGAATCCAACAAGAAAATGATAATCGTTTGGTTTGTTCCAATCTACTGAACAATACAAACCAATGTCGTTTGTTTTCTCTTCTTTCATCGAACCGTTTTTCTCGCCATTTGTGGATCTTGTACGATGACAAAACGAAAATATGATACTAATTGGTCGAGATAATACTGCAGACGGATGGTTATATGATGGTTTTTATATATTTGTTTGGTTCAGATTTTTCATCTGTATGAATTCACTTCACTTATATTCCAAATTTATGATGTATTGCGTTGCTCTATTTTAATTGAATTGATTCATCTTTGTCCGTGTGCATGTGTTTGCATGTAGTGTTCTTCTTCTTTGTTGTTTTTTTTGAGTGGCGTTTTTGAATAATTGTTCTGTTCACCTGTACAATTGGATGAAGAGAAAGATAGAGCAAGCAAACGCAAGAACCAGCCGTATGTTCTAATTACTTTGTCTCTTTTTTTTGTCGTCTTGCTCACATTGTTGCTCTCGCTTGAATTAAGTAGCTGTTAATTTATTGCCCTGTTTTCCAATGGCCTCCTCACAAGACTACTCTCTGTTCATAAGGTAATAATATTGCCATACTCGAAAACGACAACGACTTTGGATACTCGTCAAAGAGAGAAAAAAAAAACTGAAATTTTTTCTGTTTGCTGTATGTAAAACGTAAAACTAAGAGTGAAACGCTTCCAAAAGTTATGGATTTTATTTTTATTTACTTTTTCATAAACATTTCCCCATCACCCCCCCCCCCCTCATGTGCATACAATGACACCGGCTGTGTGAGTGTGTGTGTGTGTGAGAGTTTGTAAATTTGTGGTGTGCATCAGTGTGCATGGTTCTGTCTGTCCATCCATTTATCTCAAATCGTCGAAAGATCTGTGTCGTTAAAGAAATACACAAACCCAACGAACGAATGAACGAAAAGAACAGAAAAAAAGTAACAACAATATGCCGCACCGTCGATGATATGGAATCGGCAAATAAAAAAAAATGTTGTTATCGCTATGTCGTTTCGCTACTATCACACAATCATACACACCTGACGAATTGTGTGCACACAATTTCAATATTTCGTATTATTTCTTCGTGGTTTTTTTTTTCTTTATTTTTTCTGTCCTTTTCTCTCTCTCTCTCTCTCTCTCTCTTGCTTGCGCTCTCTTTTGTTTTCGTCTCTCGTTCCATACACAATCATATACATTTAGCTCCTTTTTTCCCTTCAATGCACGCCTAGGCCTTTATAAATTGAATACACAAAGATTTTCTTACCTCATTTTCTCAACACAAGTGATATCGTGTAAGTGTTTTTCTGCCGAGAGGGAAACGATCTTCGATCAGTAGAGAGAAAAAAAAGCGGCCAAGAAAAAAATAGACTTAGTTTAGTAATCCCCACGCAGAAGAAGAAAAAAAAATTGGACACAAATGGAATTCCAAAGCGGTCCGATTTATTTACGAAACGACACACACGCAAATTTCAAATTAAAAAAAAAACGACGAATTAGACAGAGCAAGAACGAAATTACACAAACGAAATGGAGAGAGAGAGAGAGAGAGAGCGAGAGAGCAAGAAAGAAAGAAAAAGAGAGAGAAAGAGAAAACGATTTGAATTTATTGACAGGTAAACAATATATTGACCAATGCTGGTAGTGTACGTTTTTCTTTAATTATCACATCGGTATTGTGCGCATACACGGCATACTCAAAGCGATATCTTTTTTTTTCATCTGTCCAACGGCCAAAACAATCGCTCATAAGCATACACGCAAGCACACAAACACCGTGTCACTCTGTCGCTAGTAAAAATCCTTTCGTCCAATCATCACGTAAGTTTCAAGTGATTTCGAACAATTTTAAAGTGTTCGATAATTTTTGTGCAGAAAAAAAATTGTCGATTTTTTTTTTCTGGTCGAAATCTTCTTCACATGATCGATGAATACATTTACAATGTAAACTCTGTGGAGAACGCGCGCACAAGCAATCGCTCGTTCGTTAGCTGAGAAACGGTAATCATTTCTTCTTCTTCTTCTTTGGTTGTTTCGGCTCTGTTCCACCGTTGCCGATATGTACGTACCGATATGTGTATTTGTTGAAAACAGAAGTGTGCTCGAAATTCAAGTATTTGGTTTGCATTGTACCTCATTTCATTGTACCCTTCTTTTTGCCCGTGTGTTTTATATTTTTATTTTTATTTTTTCATTTGGAACTTTACTGAACTAATAATGATAAGAAAACCGTTTACGATATATTGTTTCCATCAAACACAGCGAAGACTCAATAACGATTGCACGCGCGCGTCACAAGTTGGTTATGTGGCAAGTAAAGCGAAACATATTATATATCATTCCATTCTTCACCTTCTAGTTTTCTTCTTCTCCTGCTTCTTTGATCTTTTTTTTCGTTTCCTGTTGCGTTTCTTTTCTTCTTCTTTTCCAAACAAAGTAAGTCAATTCACACGAAATTTCACTTGAGTTTTGGTCGGTGTCATTTTCAGCAGCAATAACGCCAGCGAAAAAAAAAATGAGAACAATTGAGGCCAATCATCGACGGTGTGATCACATGATCCATTTTGGAATTTTCGACTGAAAAAAATACAAAGTGTTCGTGTTGGATCATTTCATCTGAATTATCATCGAGAACGCGAATGGAACGATAAATCGAATGAGAAAATAAAGAGAGCTATCCGTCGACAGTATGGAAATATTCCTAGTAATATTCCTGTATTTAGGATTCACTGTCATGGAATTGCTCTCTTTATGTACTATTCGAATTGCAACGATTCATCTGGAGACAAATCAAAACGAATACCTCCCGCATCCACCTTGCTATTTTTTTTTCATCTCGTGTGTCGTTTTTCTTGTGAATGTGAATGTGGAGAAAAAAAAAACAACAATGCAACACCTTCATACGGTACAAAGTGCTTTTAGATTTATTTTGTATTTAAATACAGCACTCGCACTGAATGTGCAAGCAATTACGTAACATAAAAATGACAGCTAATTATAACCAAGGTAAGATATATTTTATTTTCGGTTAAAGATGTTTTGTCTCTTTGATCATCAGTTTTTTCTTAATTTCACTCTCTCTCTCTCTCTCTCTCTCTCTCTTGTTAAAACCATGACTTTTTCCACTGCATTTTTGCACATTTTTATCGGAATTTATAGACAAGTTTTATTTGTTTTTTTTTTCGAATTGAAAATTGGGCAATTGTTTCTAGCATTTTCATAATTGAAAGTGCCACACATTTATTGTAAAGATACCATTTTTTGTTTGTTTGTTTTAACTTATTTTTCGGTTTGTTTCAATGAATTCGGTTGATTCTTTGCAAGAGTTAGAAAATAAAAAGAAAATTAATCGATTTAAGCTCAGTTCCAATGTCGAACAAATCATGTGAGACAGCGTTATGTCATCAGTTTTCCTTTATATCTTTGGTTTTGTGCATACAAATAGTGAATGTATTAAATTAAAATTTCCACTAAATTTCCTCATTTTGTTCAAATGTAAAGGCATCAAAGTCCATGTCGCGCAAAAAGCCTCCAATGCGCTCACGCAAAATCGAATTTTCCATAATATCCGGCGATATTTCCAAATTTGTCATTGGCGACGAAAATTTGCCCCGCTCAAACCATCCCTCTAAGGCTTCGCGTTCGTAAGAAAATCCATCTGTAGTGAGGAAAAATCAGATTTTTTTCTGAACTTGACATTTGTCAATAGTTGGTTCAATTTGGAATAGAAAGTGAATTTTTTTTTAGATTGAAATCAAGAGCGAGGTTTGGATTTTGAATCTAAATTAAAAGCAATTTCGGAATGAATCAAAGTTTTGATTTGAACTAAAATTCAAATCGGAATGTTTGTAATTTTGTGTTAGAAATTCAATTATGAATTCGGTGCTAATTATAATGATTTTGAGTTTGGAGAGTAGGCATTGATCTGAAAAGCATTGACATACAATCTAAAAAAAGAAGAATTTTTGTGTGTTGACGGGGGATACCTTCAGCCAGAATGGGATCTTTCATAATTTCATGCGTAATCGGGCAAATAAAGTCTAAGGGCACTTCGGTGCGGCTCGAGGCCAAATTGAACAAAATACTACGAACGCCAGTCAAATGGCTGTCCAATGTGAGCGTATTGGTTAGGTCCCAAATTAAAATCGTTCGATCATTGGAGCCGCTACAAAACACCGTTGAATCACTATTCACAGCCATACAATTGACATATCTCGTGTGTTCTGTCATTGTTTTGATACAGTTGCCCTGTAAATCCCACACCTTGATGGTTTTATCCATGCTACAGGACAACAATAATGTACCCATGACATTGAACCTAGGGAATTTGTTTCAAGGATACATTATAATTACTTACATTCATCACACATGGCCGATATTCCCAATTCAATTCAATTCAATGCCATACACTTACTTGACGCACGTCACTGAGCTTCCATGAGCTTGAATTGCTATGATGCATTCAGCGTTCATGGTCGATGTTCCCACAACCGTTGAATTGCCACAAAGGTGCTCCTAATTTAAAATGGTTCATTGAATTTGAAATTTTAGAATAGAAATAAGAATGACGGTGCAGGTTATAAATGATGCACGTGATAAGAGTTTGCGTTGTTGTTTTTCTTCAACAGTTTTGCTTCAACAATATTTGGCTATTCAGAACAAACTTAAACAAATCGTTTGTGGTACAAGTAATATTTACTTACGAAAAAGTAAAAACATAACCAAATATGTGCATACATGTACATTTGACTAATGTAAATAAAAGCTACAACTCTCGTTTCCGCTTTCACTTCTGTTGTTTGATTCTGTTTTTTTTACGAAATTATTTCTGGCATAAAATAGTCTTATCCATATACATACCATCACACCATCGGGAAGTAGTCGCGATGATCCTTTGGGCTCTTTCAAGTCTCGCAGGCAGTAAAGACGCCAAAGTTTGATCAGTTGATCGGTTCCGCTTGAAGCGAACGTGTAAATTGTTGTATTATAATCGGACGCTACAAGAGAATCATAGAATCATCTTAGTTTTGATATTATAGCAATGGGATTAGTTCAAAATGAACAGTAAACCATTTTCTACCAAAGGTTTGAAAATTTTGTATGGAAAATTAAACGCTCAATAGAAAATGAGTTATCCAATGAAGGTAAATACAACTGGAATTGACATATTTTCTGTAAATCGATCTTTAAAATGTTCCAAAATTCTTCTTCAAAATTGGTACACTCAAAATTATCTTCATTCACACCAATTCAAAAGTTATTCTTTCACTTTGAACTTACACAACCGACAATTGTCTTCTGATGGACAACATCCCATCAATTATTTGATTGGACGAAAATAAAAGCAAAGACTCACGATCATAATGGTAAAGTTTGCAAAAATCCGTCGCCAGCACACCCATGTCGTGTGCAGCATCAATGATACAGTCTGGCTCATCGGTGTCGTTGTCCATGTAACTGATTCGAATGTTACCGATCATACAACCGGTTAATAAGATTGTCGAATCAGATGAAAATGACAAACAATGCACGGATTCCTCATGCCGCTTTATAATCCTGGAACAACAACCCATTTTAATGTGTTCAATATCCTCAGGTAATTTAAAATCATGAATAAAAACTAAGTAAGCATTGTTAACTTAGAAAGCAAATCTATTGATATTTTATTGCAATTTTATCAAGCAAAATTCGATGCAGAAAACTGGAGCAAGAAATGCATGTAATTCAATGTGATGAATTGAAAGCTTCAAACATTTTGAAACATTTGGAATAATTTAGCATTGTCACAGAGGAAGGAATATTGAAATATGGGCCATGAAAAAATGTCTACGCAAAAGCACGACTATTAAGCCACTTGATAATATCGTATTATCCCAACTAATTCAATCATAATTGAATTCATAATTATGGATGGAATTACCATCAATCCCAAGGGAAACATTTGACTGACGAAAAAATTTAAAGAAAAAATTGGGATAATTCCCCACATTAACAGGAATAAGAGAAGTACAATTTTATTAAAAACTATGACCAAATATTTATCAGCAATAAAATTACAGTTATTATTACCAAATAATTGATATTGTCGACATAATCAAATCAATAATTCTCATCAAAAAATTCACAATAACTGATAGCAACAAAAATGTCCGACGCAATGTCTGACGTTCTGATGTATAATTCCATTTTTTTACAATTCAATTATAAATACAATTAGTTTCGATCGGTAATTAAAAATGTAGAAATGTGCAAAATTAAGCATGATATTAATTAATCTAATTGAAATTAAAAAAATATGAATGAAAAAAGAAAACGCAACTATACCTTGTAATTGATTTGCTTTGTCCCCAAACACAAACGGTGCCACTATCATCCGAGCTAACAATGTTCGCTCCGTCCGGACTGTTTGATAAATTAGTGCTTAATTACATGTTTAGCGACTACAATTGATTAGCAACAACTTGTTCTTTACCTAAAGACACAGCATCGAATGGCTTCGCCATTTTCTTGAGACAGGATATTAGTTTTTGAGCCATCTGTTAGATCCCATAGTATCATAGTGCCATCAACCGAAGCTGATGCTAGTACACCACCCTGTAAGCAAAACAAGAAAGAGAATATTATTCCAATATTTCAAACTTACGCGCATAATTGGTTCAACACTTCACCGCAACATCGGTTTGATGAAATTGCGATGCATCGACAGCGCCATTTTGACACTTTGTGAATTGTCAACGGCAACAAAACCGAGCAACAACATTTGAATGTGTGCTGTGTGTTGAAATTCAAGCGATGGTCGCTTTTCGTCTTGATGTTACAAGTTCCGTGTAAATAAATTCGGTGTCAATTGAATCAAATCGAAAATCACAAATATCCGATATGGATACGAATCGAAGGGAATTCGATCCATTAAACATTTGGCCGAATGCAAAAACGATGAAAATCGATAAAATTACGCCGCATAAAATAGTGGTGGTATTTTTGGTGCAAGAATATTTAAAAGTGAAGAGCGAACATGAGAATCATGACGTTTACCCGGCAAAATATTCAAAACGTTTTTGTATGCTATTATTGAAATTGATCCAATTTCCGGATATGTCGTACAAGGATTTGCACAGTTTTCTATCGAATGCAGACGTTGGCATCGATCCAAATCATTTGCACAGCTTTGAAGAGCTCATGGAAACGATATCTACCGTTGGTCTTGATGTATTATTTGATTTACAAATGTTTATCGGTAAATTGCTCACCGACAATTTGCATGTCAATCAATTTGGTGTGGTCGGATTTTATATACGACGCATACTGTTGGCGCTCAATAAAATGGGTTTTGAGGGAATAAGCGATTTGTACGAAAGTATTATAGCCTACTATGAGAAGGGGATTCGTGCAATGGCATTTTCATCGACAAATGAAGGCGCCGCCAATTTTGAACCGGATGACAGTGTTGATTGTTCATCATCGATGATGGCTGATATATCGAATGAAGCACGGCACGCATCGAAACGTCAATTGTCACTCATTATGCCGTCCATTTCAACGATCAAAGAACGTAATGGACACAGTAAATGGTCTGTCAAACAAGCCGATTTATTTATTGCTCAACAATGCAATCTATTGGAGAACAACGAAATTTACGCCTTAAAACCCATCGAATTACAACAACGGCTCAATGAAATTATCGATGATATTCCGTTGTACACACAAGCCCACGCACTCACTTATTTAAATAGTTTGCGTGTTCGTGATTTCTTCAGCTCATTGGATTCATATCATCGGGCCTATGATCAGAATTCATCGCGTGAAATTGATGCGGCCAATGCGGAAGCAGCTCAAACATCAAACAATGGCCAATCGAAGAATGCAAACCGTGGACTACAGTATTCCAGCTTGAATTTGGCCATTTTACACATGAAATTCGAACATTACAATGAAACGCTGTCCAATTTACGTGAATGCATAATGTTGGCACAAGAAGCCGGTGACAAAGCATGCTTACAATTGGCACAGCTGTGGTTATGTTTGTTGGATAAAAAGTATGTGCTGTTGTGCGAGACAAATGTGACAAATCAACTGGAAAATACGGCGGTTCATTCGGTGTCGCTGGGTGTACAGTTTGTTGTAAATGTTGCCGCTATTTCAGGTAATTATCATTAATCAGTATTGATTTTAATTTTTGATTGTTCCAACAACAAAGAAAATGAAAAAGTTTTTCTTCTTTAATCGGTTTCGAAAATTTTCCATTTCCATTTACAGGCGTTGTGCCATCAAAATTATTCGAGCTGCTAATGAAAAGTGAGGTGATCAATTTCCAGCACAGCCTTATGGATTTGGTGGCGAATAGTTGTTCGCAAAAAGCGGCCGTCTGGCAATTGTATGGCAAAACGGAATTGGCATCGTTATGCAATCAACTGTTGCTGCAAGTGGTGCGATCGAGTAAAGATAGTGATTGCATCGAGAATAGTGAAGCCGTATGCCTGTCGCTGTGTTCGATTGCACTTTGGCTTAGTGTACAGGGTGAACACGTTCTGTCGGCCGTGGTCATTCAACATGCTGCCGAACGATTTCCACGAGATCCATTGTCACGAAACTGGCAAATGACCGAAGCCTACATTCAATCACAGCAATCCATTCATCGTTGCAAATGGACCGATGGACTGAGAGCATGCAGTCAAATTCGCATTTATAATCCCGTGTTGAGTGCATTGCAACAGGCCACATTGAATATTTCACGAGGAAATGGATCGGCAGCCTACAAATATCTGCAACAATTACTCAACGACGATGGACTCGAGCCCATTTATCGTGTTCGTACAATGATTCTGATGTCAAACACATTTGTACGCAACGAGTTGGCAATTAGTGCGGAAAAGCGATTTTCCGCCGAAGCTATGGGCATTCTGAATGAAGCATCCGTATATGCAAAAGAAAAATTTCTATCCTATGAAGCGGCACTGGTTGATCTGCACACCACCTATGTTTTATTACTGATGGGAATGCCACAGCAGGCACTGAAGTTAATTCGAAATTGTATGGAAACCATATTAGCAAATGGCGGCATTTATGATTGTACGCGTACTCAATTCTTATTTGTTAAGTGTTTGATTGCGGCCCAAGGAGATAATCATTTAGAGAAAATCAATAAACTATTAGCCACGCTACCCATTTTAGACGAATGTATACAAAATTTTATGAAACTCGAGGCATTCGCCAAAGTCAAGGATATCTACATTTATTTGTCGATATTCTATGAAAGCGTCGGCCTAATGGCCGAACGCAATAAATGGGCGTGCAAATTTCGATATTTAGACGAACAATTCCCAACGCCAACCGAATATCTCAATGTATTTTTATAAGATAACAACACACATGCCGATCGAAAATTAAGAACAACAAAAAACAAACCGAACTGAATTGAAGAAGAAAATGAAAAAATAAAATTCAAATAAAACAAGAACTGAAGAATAAGTTTATGAAACAACAAATTTTTGAGTCATTTTTATTTCGAATAAAATGTGGAAGAAACACAGAACAACAACAACAAGAAAAGAGAGTCAACAAACAATTGCGTGCACTAATTACACACCTGTGGCGATACTTTAACACTTGTTATTCCATATTTATGACCAAGCAACGGTGAATAGCTCTCCTCCAAAAAACCACAGCCCACATGCCATTTCCACACTCGAATCGTCTTATCACTGTACGAAAATAAAAAAATAAAATAAACCAACAACAACACATACACACACAACTATTATTTCAACGTTTTTTCTCTCTCTTTTCAAGGCGAAACGAACAACCAAAAATAATACTAATAATAATGAAATCTATTATCAAAAAGGTTTTTATTTTGCGCGTCCGAATTATCGTGTGGCACCGTAAAGTTTCATTTCGAACATTTAAAATCCACGTATGATTTGAGGCGCTAGATCCAATATTTTAAACGACGTTTGTTACTTTATATTTTCTGTTCTGTTATGTTTTGTATCGAATCCGCAAAAATTTGAACACACTTTTTCCGTTCGGTTTGGTTGTGAATTGATTTTTTTTTTTTCATTTTTTTTTTAAGAATTTTTTTTCTTAAATTCTTCGTTAAATATTATCATTACCTAGAACCAGATACAAGTAAATTATTTCCCCAGAATTCAACACAAGTTACGTCTCGTGTATGCGCTTTAATTTCTTGCAATACTTTTACATGTTTTGCAATTAATCTCGACATTTTCCATATACAAACTAAAAAAAAAGGCACAGAATGCAAATTGGTTCTGCTTGTTGTTGTTCGTGTTGAGCACAATTTTTTGAAACCAACGATAAATAAAATGGGAAAAAAACTGCGAAAATGCAAATGTTCTAACTAAAATATGGTTTATCACACTTGGCACGGATCACTCTCTCGGTTTTTGAATTGAAAATGATGAGATGGAAAATCCGGGTGGGTTTAAAAAAAAAAATTTATAACAAGTCGGTAAACGATTTGTGGAAATATTGATCACAATTATATTGGCCGTCGGTCGTACACACGGACAGTTAACGTAATAATTTATGCTGATATGATTGGTAGCGGCAATATCATAAAAAGGAGAGACACATTATTGCCTTGACATAAACACACGAAATTGTTCTCACACTGTCGAATCAATGTGTTCTATATTATACGATCGATAGAAAATAAAATCCGCATTGCATTTGTATCATTCGGGTGCTCTTTGTCTCCCTCTCTCTCTGTCTGTCTCACACTGTGTCTATCTCTATCCAATTTTTATTGTTTGAATTCAATGAACATAAAATAAAAAGATTTCTTTTAGTTTTCTATGTATAATATATTCGGTGGAGTGAGTGCGTCTGTGTGTGGGTGGATGATTGTGTTCGACTGTTCCGAGGATTCTTTTTTTTCTCGAAAATCGAAGAAAACCAAATGCGAAAATTCACAACCCGTAACCTAGTTTGGACGTGAGAAAAATGAACGTAGCAAATCGGCTAACGATACAATAGCAACTGAAATACTCGGCCGAATAGAATGTCCGTGCCCAGGTCGGGCCACCACCAAACGATACGAATGACGCGGATATTTTACTAATTATTTATTCAATACAAGTTTTGTCGTTGTCGTGTGCGTTTGCATATTGGAGCCGATGGAGTGGCGAATGGAATGGAGAGAACGAGACAAGGGAGACAAAAGACATAGAGATAGAGAGAGGGAGAATTCATTTCTTTCACTGCCACAAATATACTCATTCATATCAAATTGAGCTTCGAATTAGCCGGTTAAGCAATTAAATAAAAAATGATGAGCATCTTCTCCACCTTCTCCTTCCTTTTTGGTCGTTTTTCCTATCGATGAGTGGTGGGAAGGAGAGTTGGATGGTAAAAGTGATCTTCAAGTGGAAAATCAATCAATGTTGGACTTCGGCTAGCACTTATGTGGTGCTAACTAATTCCATGGGGGAAAAAAGTCGAAAAACTTGTCAAACAAGAAGATATTTTTTTCCGAGTAATCGTAGTAGTTCACGTTGATGAACACACCTTAAGGGCACAGTTCAACGCATTCAATGTTCAACGATACAAATAAAGACGAAAAAACAATTGGAAAATTGTCTATATTTGAAGGTGATGTCGACACGATTTTTCACCTGGTAAGCACTTTGCCTACAATACATACGGTGAGAAACTAACGGTCTCTGATTGATAGTTGATAGAAATGACACCAATACATATTCATAATTTCATTTAAAAAAGAGGATCTAATTCCATACTGCGTGACAAAGAGACAGAGTAACCAATCAAGGAAGCAAGTAGGCAAACAAACAAACAAGTGAACAAGCCTACACGAGCAAAACTTCAACATATACACCAATTATCTGGAAAATGAAATCTCTTTGAAAACGAACATATGGACAAAGTCAATGGGTTTTTCGGTGTCTATTTTTAGTTTATTGGCAATTTTTTTTTGTGTGTCTATTGACGACGTATGATTATTCGTCGAGTTTTGTAAAAACTGTCACCGTTGAATCGATGCCGTATGAACGTTGTGATAGAATGATAAACACCAAATGCTTGCTGCCAACACCACCGCTCACAATTTTCGTTTGAACTGGGTTTTTATGATAGCTGATATGCTGAATTGCCCCAATGACCGAATCATATTCGCCAGCCTGCAAATAAATGTGTGTAACAAATAGTTATGTTAAAAGGACGTAGGTAAATCACACTTAAAAAATAAATAACTCATTTGTTTTATGCACCCGTGTGGAAAATTTTTTGGCTGACTAGTCAGTCGATTAATTTGGGACATTTTGACTGACTAAAAGTGATTTGTCTCGAACAAAATAAGCAACTGCAGTTAACTTTAATCACAAATCACTCTTAGTCAAAATGTCCCAAATTGGTTGACTCACTGAAAGAATAACTAAACGTGATTGTCTCCATACAAAACGCATGATTTCAATCAACTTAGCCAGTTTTAGTTGTGTATCACTACATACAGTTACATACAACTGAGACTGTTAGTCATTTTATTTGCACACGGGCATGATTACCGATGGAAATGCAAGGGTTCGATTTTGAATACGGAACCAGAAACCGCGGGCTATCGCCGTTCGATGATCGACAGCACGAACATTATACAATTCACCCCATGTATCTATCGTTTCCGTATGTACGAAACAAATGCCTAGGCCACTGACTAAACAAACAAGCAACAGCAAAAATTTCTCCATATTGGTCAACGTTTTATTGAGCTGTGAACATGGTTTCAGCGCACAATAATGTGCTGTCCGCATACAGTGAATGCAATTTATTTGTTCAAATCGAAGCGTGACTGCCCTGCCCCTCAAACACTACATTTTCATATGGAGTGGCATAGAAAATTCCACGATTTATGCAGAGAGATAAACCTTATCAGTGTGGTTTTTATCAAGATAATTCAATGAGCCCAACGTTTTCAACACTAAAATTCAATGACAACTACCATACAATGGACATTCGACTATAGTGACGATTTATATCATTCTTTTCATCGTAATCATTTCAGCTTTTTCCCTTCAACCATCATAGTTCATACACATCTCTCCGTGTGTGATTAGAGTATATGTATTCTAATTTTATTATAAATTTGTTTTATTAATTTTATTATGTAGAAAAAAGACCATATATGAATCGATCATTTGAATAAACCGAGAAACCAAATGTATTTTAAAATTCTGATTATTATATGTCTGTCTATTTTTAAATTTCGCGCAATTCTTCAGCCAGTTCAATTCAATGTATGTATTAACAAACAAAGAAAGAATTGTAGAAAAAACAACAACAGCAATCAAAACAATGTCCATAACCAATGTTGCTCAAGCAAACAATATAATTACAGTCATCATGACGTTCAACGGGTGGTCAATTTTCTTTGTTTGCTTCATATGACAACGCTGTAATCAATGTAGCCGCCACATAAATTGAATTAGAATGATGTGTTGGTAATGCGTCAACGTCCATTTTCATTACTATCCTGTGATCATCCAACCATACGATTTGATTAATGACAATTTGCTGTATTTAGAAGAAAAATAATGCAAAATAAATGATAAAATAATTTTTCTTTAAGAATAAGAATGTTTAAAATTCCATCGGAGTAAATTATTCCGATTGGACATTTTACTTCGGTTCAAATTAGGACCAACAATTTTTTTTTTCTGTCAAAACCAATAAATTTTCATATAAATTAGGAAATTAAAAGGAATAATCGCGAAAAGTATACTCTATCAACGGTCATTTTGTTTTATTATTGGTTCCATAATTGTTAGTGTTGCTTTTTATTGACGATTTTATTTTTCTTCTGTAAATATTTGTAATTTTTAGTTTTATTCATTTTTCAAATTGATTTCTAATTGTAAAGACGACACTTTTATTATTTAAAACAGAAAAAAAATTCGTACTTCAAATAAAATGATATTAAGTGTTGTATGGAGAATTTGGTTGTTTAGGGCGTTAAACGCTTTGGGTCACGTGGGAACATGGATGTTTTTCGAATGTTGTCCAATCCCAAGTACAACATAACAACACGTTCCATTCCGATGCCACCACCAGCATGCGGTGGACAACCGAAGCGGAATGCTTCGATATATGCGGCAATTTTCGATGTATCGATTGCGTGATGTTTAGCCCGTTCCATCAAATAGTCTGGATCATGTATACGTTGTGCGCCCGATAAAATTTCCTCACCTCGCATGAACATATCGTAGGAGTTGGACCATTTCTGGGATGGAACAATGAAAAGGGACATGAATAAAAGTGTTTTAAATTGAAAACGAATTCTTTAATTTTAAATCTCTTCCTTTGTCCGATTCTGAAAGAAAGAAAAATCCGATTGAAAGAAAGTGGAAACTTACTTGATTATTTGGATCTGGCATAGTGTAGAATGGACGAACAGCCAATGGGAATTTGTCTAAAATATAGAAATCGGTATCGTATTTGGCTTTAATCAGTCGACCCAATAGTTTTTCATTTGGTGTGGACAAATCTTCTTCATCGTCCATTTCGACGCCAACCTCACGCAGCATCGCAACACCTTGTGAATAGTTCAGTCGCAATGGTGGTTCTAAAAATTTAAACGGTTCCACATCGTATTGATTGCCAACGGCTGCAATTTCGGCGGCATACTGATCACGAAGCCCCTTAAATATTTCCGTGAATAAATGACCGATTGTGTCAAGCACTTCATGGTAATGGTATTTGAAGGCCATTTCCAAATCTAAGCCAACGAATTCAGTCAAGTGACGATGTGTGTTTGAGTCTTCGGCACGGAACACCGCTCCCACCGTATACACTTTGTCAAAGTCAGCGGCAATTGCCATTTGCTTGTACAATTGAGGCGATTGAGCAAGGTAAGCCGAATCTGGGAGGATGGAAAGCGTATATTTGAAATGAAGAGCATATTTTTTAAATGGAGAATGTGATTTTTTCGGAATGAATAAAAAAATTTAGAATAAATTCTATGATCATCTAAATTACCTTTAAAATAGCTAACGGTGAATACATTAGCACCACCTTCACTAGCAGCGGAAATAATTTTTGGCGTGTGAATTTCCGTAAAACCTTTTCGAGCCAAAATATCACGGAACAAACGGCAAACGCCGGCTTCCAAACGGAATATCGCCTGATTGGCTGGCGTTCGTAAATCTAATACACGATTGTCAAGACGAGTGTCTTGATTGACACGAATATTAAGACTGTTTGGATCCTGAATGAAAGCGACAAACAGAATGAATCGGTTAGTTCAACAATAGGAGAGTTACTCATTGAACTCAATGGCTAATGAATAGAGAAAAAATTCGTTCGGACATACATTATTTTTCTCTGGTCTCGAAGCATCCTCAATTTGTAGAGGAAGTTGTGGCTTAGCCGCTGACACCAAATAAATTTCCAGCACAGATAATTCCAAATTTTGTTCCGTACATGATTCTATTTTCGATGAGACCGCAACGATTTTCGCATTTATATCAATTATACTTTCCTTGTTGATGCTAAATGTGAGTAAAAAGAAAGTGAACGACGATTGATAAGAGTTTAGAAAAAAAAGACGATAAGATTTGTTGTTTTTTTTTCATCGAATTAATCGGGTATTATTTTCTTTCATGTGTGTACCTTCCCGAGAATTTCACCATTTGTTTGGATACGGCATCATTAACAGCGATGACGCATTGGACCGTTGAGCTTTGCTGACGCAATATCAAGAAGCATTGTTTTCCTTTGCAACGTGACGTGTGTACGCGACCGCGCACCCAAACACTTTGATTGGGCGATTTTTTCAGGGATTCGGATAGATGTGCAACTTTAGTGAAAACACGTTCCTCATGATGTTCTTGCGATTGAATCAATTTGGAAGCACCATACTTTCCTTCTGAATAATCTTGTGCGGATTCAGCATCACCGGTGGCCCCACTTGTTACTGCAGCTGCTGCCTTGTATTCGGCTTTCTGTAAACATATTGTTGTTTTTATTTGACGAATGAGCCAAAACGATTGTCAAATTTAATTTTTTTTCTTCAGAAAATCCTTTTTCTTTTCATCAAAAATAGTGCAAAATTCTCTAAAATAAAAATAATTACCTTGGCCGCCTTCGCTGCTTCTTTTGCAAGTTTTTTCGCAGCTTTTTTCGACTGACTTTCACCGGTTTCGTTGGCATCGGCAGCCACGGCTGTTTTTTCGTCTTTGCTCATTTTTTAGCTACAACGAAAATTCATATGATATGCACGAAATAAGATTAGCAGTACTCTTTTATCACCACAAATGCGATTATGTTTTTGTTTCTATGCAAAACTGATCATTTTCCCTATTCTAATGCACATAGACACTTTGAGATAACCTCAAAGTCTACCGAGAAAATGAACGTGTTTGGATAAATGCCAATGCGAAAAACCAATAAATGTTTTGAATGATCAATTTTGATTTGGTTCACAATGATTGTTCGGATGGAAGTGTCGTGTAAGAAAATTTCAATACCCACACAAAATTTATTTCACCGTTTGATTATCGTACCGGAACACGTCGTAAATTACCAACGACTAACAAAACATGCAAAAGTAGTATCGCCTCAAGTGAGTTCAACATGTACAAAAATGATGAAATATTTCAACAACACTTCTGTCAAACGACATACAATTCATTGCGGACACCAACATCAGAGGCGCTGTTACCGCTCGACCGAGTGTCAACTAGTCACAGTATTTATGTTTTCATCGTCTCAATTTGTTTAGGTGGAGTAGCACGACAAAAAAAGAGTAGAAAAAATGTCTAGCAAAAATAGCGAGTAAGTAGAAAATAAAATTCATGAGTTTTGAAATAAAATCCAAACATTTTTGAACATTTTCTCCATCTCGATTCAGGTTGAAAATTATGCCAAAGGCAATTGTTTGTGAATGTGATGACAGTACTTTCTCCGGTGATATCACCGTCTCCAGTGGATGTATCATTCATCCCCGTGTGACGATCATCGCCAAATCCGGACCAATTATCATTGGTGAGAATTGCCTTATCGAAGAGTACACAACGATTATCCATGACACGGGCGAAGACACAAGTTCAATGGCAAAACCACCTGTTTTGGTCATCGGCCCGAATAATGTGTTTGAGGTGGGCTCACGCGTGGAAGCGCTGAAAATTGGCGAGAAAAATCTATTCGAATGCAAATGCTATGTTTCATCAGCGGTTAAAGTGACGAATAGTTGTATTATTGGAGCCGGTTGCCAGTTGATTGGCGAACAAACACTGGCTGAAAACACCATTATTCATGGCAAAAATTGCGCTGAACGGGAATCTATCGAAAAGTCCGTGGTATGTATTGAATCTATCGACAAAAAATCGTAGGGATTTCGATGAGAATAGCAATCAGGGATTTATAAGCACTTGTATGGCTCATAGAGACTTGATTCCAAGCGAAATCTATCTGAAATGAAAATCAACTTAAACTATTGAATGAAGACCTAATTCCCGTCAATATCATTTCAGTCTCACTCGCTTCAACTGGTTTTCCTTCGAAAGCTACTACCAAACTATCACTTACTACGGAAGGCAACATTCGATCCGAAAAAATTCAAAGGACAAATTTAGTTAAACATTTCCAGCTATTTATAAATTGAAACGAAAATAAAAGAATTTAAAACAAAACACAAAAGGTTGTAGTTTAACAAAATCGGTAGTTTTAAAAAGGTTGAACGCACCCTGTAACACATACACACACGCACATATACATCGATTTTACCGATACTGTCATATGTCATTTGGTGAATCGATGTGTTTGACAGATCACTCTATTTCGTGTTAGTTAGAGCAAATATTCGAGAACGACGGAAAAAAAGAGCGACGAATAATTAAATGAGCTAGACAATTATGGAAAAAGAGCAGGAAATTTTGGGCCGGCTACGCCAAGATATTATTGATAATAATTTGCATGTGAAAGCGATAATACAGGTGAGCGCAATGAAATGTACTACGAATCGGGAATGGTTTTTCGTTTATCTTGTTCATTAAACGTCATCATTGTTTATTTCGACAGGACATAACTGGATTTCGTGGCACGATAGAAGAGCTAAATCAATTCAATGAGGCTGGACGTGCAAAATTGGCATTGCTACGCAAGAGTATTGAACGTTTAGATGATTATGTGGCCGATCTCAATAATCCAACGCTATCAGCCGAAATTGATTCACATCGACAACAATTTACCAGGTGAGAAATGCGTTTTTTTTCGGCTGTGTATGAATTTAAAACAAAATATCACGTCACTCAATACGTATACTATACACACCTCGGTTCTGTTCTTGTTATGTGTATATTTAGAACATTGCAAGCATTCCGTCGGGCAAACATTAACACAATGCTGGAAATCGAGAAATTGGATAAAGCTGAACTATTTTCGAATACAAGCGAAGTACGCCATCGTTCTGTGGGCCAATCAAAGCATGCACAATCGAGTTTGGCCTATCAACAGGATAGTGTCACGGAAAAAATGCTGTCTATAACACGCCATTTATCGGAAACAACCAACAAAAGTGCAGAAACATTAGAAGCATTGGTTGCATCGTCGACCAACGTTGAAGGAACCAATGATGAGCTCCATAATACAGCCGGTTCCATTTTACATTCCAGAAAATTACTGAAAAAATACGGACGACGAGAGTGTACCGATAAGATATTAGTTTTCTTTGCATTCACGCTTTTTATCGTGGTTGTTTTTTATATTGTGCAAAAAAGACTTTTTTAACATAGCCTTTCTTTTAAGTGTTCAAACATATTACATTTTTTATTTCTTCTTTTCTTCTTCGATTTTTTTTTTAATTTATTCTGTCCGTTAAATATAAAAACTACACTATAAATCGATATTTGTAGTTTCTTTTTTAGTAGAGGGAAAGAAGAAAAAGAAGATGATTATTGGGTTATCATTTCAAAAAAAAAATACCTATCTAATTTTGTGATATGCGGTAAATGTACGTGGTTGAGGAATGAAATGTTCATAGAGAGTAAAAGAAAGTTTGACATTTTTCGTATGTTTACCCAATTATTGAAAAAATGATCGATGAAATGAAACGAAATGATTTTATAATGACAATGACAATGGGAAAAGCATCATTCATTTTATAAATCAGAAGAAAAGTACACCTGTAAAAGGTTTAGGCTTAGATAATAGTGGTTAGGTCAGGGAAAAATCAGAAGGGTAGCAAAGAATGACACTTAGCCTTGGTAAAAAAAGTCAAATCTTAGTCACCGAACACACCTTTTGCTACTTTATTACAGTCAGTCTTTAAATTTTAGCCGTGGATATATTCATTTGCTGAGTTTTCAACGGATTTTTTTTACAATTTCTATTCGCTTCAAACTTAGATGTGCAAATGATTGTATTTTGTGCCAAAAATACATACAACTCAAACACAACCCTCCAAATATTCAATGCATTTTTATTTTTGAATGACAATTTTGAGAGAGAAATAAACACTTTTTCAACAACAACAATAACAACAACGATAAACTTTTAAACAATAAACACTTTTTAAGCGGAAGAAAATTGCATTTTCGAATATTCGATTTTTTTAAATCTATTTTATTCCGGATTTAAATTTTGTTGAAGAGCAATTGAGAAGTCCAGCCATTCGTAAGGTTATCGTAGTTCAGGATCGGATTTCGATGAAATCGAATTTTAATCTCGTCTTCCATTTAAAGGTGTCAAACGAACAAAGTTTGTCCGTCCTTCCGTCCTCCATTTCGAGGAAGGACGAACAAAACCGTTTTGGCTCGTTCGTTTTCTCAAAAAGGACGAACGAAATCGATTTAGTTCGTTCGTTTTCACAAAAAGGACGGACGAACAGCGTTTTTCAATTTTGTGTTCGTTCGTTTGACACCTTTACTTCCATTTCAATTTTCGGCTGACAGTTTGAGAAGTAGAAGCATCCATCGGTTGATCAAACTTCCAAACAAACCTCATACATACGTTTAGGCTTAATCAGAATTGGCTGTGGCAAAGTCACTTTCAGCTGATCCATCTTCTCACGTTCGGTAATAGTTACGTCGACTTTATTTCCGGCTATTTTAGATGAACCATACCTACAGATTTACAGGCAATAACATATTACTAACTATACTTGATAACAGCAATATATTTGGTCTGACATAACATAACCTCTCGTTATGTTATTAAGATAATATAATAACGACCAAAAAAAATCGCAGAGAAGAAGTTTCATGAAGACGAAAACTGTTGAGAAGTCTGTAACCATACCATGTGACAGAAGTTTGAATCTCTCCCAACAGTAGGTGTTTATTCGATGAGAACGAAGTGACTTCTTGAAGTTGTATGTACTTTTTCGGTTCTGGGCCGCTGGTTTTCCGTTGACAACGCAAAATATTATCCACATCCCATGGGTAGTATCGGGGTGATTGATTGAATATTTTCGCTTTGTACCCTTTTGCCGATAAAGAAAGCATAACATCTTCGAATTCTTCCGACGTGAATAGTCCTTTGTTCAACATGTAACGTTCAGAGAACTCTTCGCTTTTCATTAAGCTAAATCGAAATAACTTGAAGCAATCGCCGAGTTGAGTTCTCAAATTCACCGCTTGTGTTGTATCCAAATCGTCTTGTTCGCATGCGTATCTGGCCCACGTCAAACAGGCATCAAAAACATCGGTTTCCTTGCACATCAAGCATAGCTCCAATATTCGTTGTAGAACACCTTTGTCACAGCGTTTGAATGCATCGGTGGCAAAGATATCTTTCGGTGACTTGGTGATTTTGTCCTCACAATACTTCATCAGTTCATCATTTTCGAGATTCACGGTCAACTGATAGCCCCAGCATATGTTATCAAGTGTTAGTTGGCCTTTGAGAAATACGGCACACGCGTTGACATGTTTGAGAACATCATATTTGTCGACCAAACAAACGACGGTCTCGATATTCTCCATTGTTAATGTCACCTCACCCAGGTAGAACAACTGGAGAAATTCCTTGGATACGTCGGCATCCGCATCGTCAACGGGAACGTCTCCTTTCTCCGGCAACGATCCGAAAAACATTGTATCAAATACCGGGCTTAGAGCTGCCAATACAGTTTTGTTTGCTGGAACTGTGTGAATTTCGTCAAGAAAACTCATATTACAAATACTATTCTAGTGTTTTCAAAACGATTTTTTTATGCGACAATTGAAAAAAGTGAACGGCTGACTACAGTGTGACAAGCAATGAATCGGTCTGAAACACTGATGCCAAAAAAAGCGCGAATCGAGAGTGAACACAATAGTTTACATAGCGAAGGGAGAACAAAAAAACACAAACCGGCACAATGAGTGCACGATATTGCCGATGACATCAAGTGAGCTACGAACAGAACTGACCCGTTAGCTGTGTGCGCCGGTGTACGCATTTTGGATGTATATCTCTTCACACTTTCTTCCCAATAGTAAATGTTCATTGTTCATGTATGTGTGATAAGCAAAAGAGACGGGCCAAACGTCGATTATCGTGCAATATGATGCTACTCAAGACAGTGCAACATATTGCTTGAGCAAAATCAATGTTTCGTATCCATATTTCCCTAGATTATTGTGTATTGGAATGATTTTTTGTTTAAACTTGACTTTATGGAACTGGACTGCTAAAACATAGCTAGGTTTCACTTTATGGATGATTCATTTTCATTTTAAAGATTCGATCATTGAAAAAGAAGAAAAAAAAAACAACTGGCAAACGGTTTGTCATTCCACGAAGTCAACTGAATAGATCAAAATCAAAGTTTCTTCTTCATAAATTTCGTTCGAATATTCACGCTAATCTGAACACGTTGTATTGCGAATTCTGTTTTGTGCATCAGTTTCGTTTCGAGCTATTTAACCATTACATAAATTCCGAGTAATGATGTTTTTGTTGATGTTACTGCTGCTGTGTGTTCCTTATTTCAGGTTTTTTGTTAAGAGGATTTAAAAGAAGCGAAAATTTGTCTGTAGCACTGTGTATGCCTTCGTATGTTTGAATGAATGAATGGAATACAAAAAGCGGTAAGAACTCAATTATGCGTTTTCAAAGAGAGAAAAGTCCAAACACATCCCAGTCTATTATTTGGGCACAGAGAACGAGAAAACGAGAGAGAGAGAGAGAGAGAGAGAGAGAGGGAGAGAAAGAGAAAGAAAAAAGTGTGTATTGTCTGAAATTGAGGATAATCTCTTTTATTTAGTTCCATTTTAGTTGTTGCTTTGGTTTGCTTAACCACTAAACATTCGGTTGTCAGCTACCAAAATATGATGTTATTGAATTTCTATTATAGAGCATATGTCAGCAGTTGGATGTGTCTTTTTTTTTCCTCTGTTGTTTTCAATTTGATGTTTTGGGCTGTATTTCTCCGTCTTTCATTCACATTTTTTTCTTCTTTTCTTTTTGAATAGTAACATTTTTTGTTTCACAATAGTTTCTCTTTTCTCTATGTTGTTATTTCAGCCAGATCAAATGCTAAACGCTGCAAAACAATTCCTTCAATTTGAAGTCTCTAGCAAAGCAGAGAATAAAAATAAGATTTTGCTCTATTTGTCTCTAGTCTATGTCTCTTTTCATATATATATATATATATATACGTCTAAATGAATTTCTAAAGATATCTTTTAGGTACTAATAACTGCAAAATCGTCTAAATTGTGCATTATTCATTCATCACTCTGCACATTGGCCACGATAAGCCAATACTAATTACAGATCGAGTTTTTAGCTCTCATATATATACTATACATATCTATCGATCTATCTATATATAAAAATAATGTCTACCATGGCATTATGTGTGTGTATGAAGATTTGCGCACACGCATTGTATTCATTCCGGGAGCACGCATGTGCATATATGCATGTACATGTTTAAATCTTCCCTTGCCTGTACATATCAACTATGAGTTTGACAATGGTCACTCCGCCAGTCATTCCTTTTTCTCGTCGAAAAAATAGCTCTTCGATCGTGTAACTTGATACACGTTTCAGTTGATCCAGTATTAGCATCAAATTCTGCAGCCGTAACGGTTGTGTTGGTTTCGTAACATTTATATGTGCTGCTAAATCGGCTATCGCTTCATCGCGATATGTGATAATCTTTGATTTTTCTTCGAGTCGAACTTTTGTTAAATCATCCTTGCTGCTACTGCTGCTGCTATGGTCGTCATCTGTGTTGGACGATTCAATTTGTGCAGCTGCATTATACAGTGCTATCGATCGAATACAGTTATATTCACGGCTATCGATATTCATGTCGGCCAGTTTGAGCAGTATACTTTGGAATTGATTGGCTTCGGCTTGGACCAATGCACTGTGTTCGCCATTTTGATAGGCGATCAGCATTAGATTGAAATTAAATTGCAGTAGATATTGTGGAGCGCTCAATATGAACAGATCAGTCCATGAATGTTCGAGCAAAAGAAGTTGATCGTTAATTGGCAATGGGTTAGCCAGGCACTGAGCTTTAATCCATCTACTGTTCATGAACAATAATTCGGCAGCTGTTTCGCGCATCGATTCAACTAAATTTGTGGGTGACAGCGGAACTGGGTGAAAAGATGACAACATTGGTGTTCTGTAGGCGGATTGATCGACTAAACCACGATTGCGGGCCGATAAATCCAAAATATATGGCGGTATGGTTGGTTGTATGGGAAGTGCACGAAATACCAGATCCTGTTGCATTTTCTTCACATCATCCGAACTGATCACGTCCTTGCCACCGATGAACATAGCCATTTGACGGCGCAGGGTACCCACACGTGGACCGCGTTCACTTTGAACTGCATCTTTGTTCATGCCGACTCGAAAGCATTTTTTCAGTCGACATGCTCGGCACTGATTGCGATGCGTTTTATCGACAACACATTGGCCCTCCGTTTTTGCTTTGCACACATAATTACGGGAGCGTCGTATTGAACGTTTGAAGAAACCAGCACATCCGTCACACGCAAATATACCATAATGTTTGCCCGAACTATGATCACTGCACACTTTGCATGGCACATCATATAAAATACGACCTGCGAAAAGAAAAAAAAAACGATTCGTTTTAGATACGATGCGGGATATTCATCTCAAAAGTTTTCTTGTACAGTTTTTGTATACGTGTGTAAATCTTAATAATAAATAGAAGTTGATCTTATAACTTTTTGTCTCTGTACCCAACATCCTTTTTTTTCCAAATCTGTCAAAAGATTCAAGCAAAGATAAGATGGAGCATTCATATGAAATTCAATAGCAATAACAAAAAAAATTCTGATGTGAATTTCTTCGAAATGGAATCAGAGCAGATCTCTGCCATTGTGTAATATTCACTTGAACAACTGATGGGGCCGAAGAAAAGCGAACGAGAGATGAGAACCTTATTGAGATGAAAAGTCTTCGACGATGTGTGACGACGTGGCAATTGTTTTCATAACGCAAAAATTCGGGATGGTTTTTGGTTTTTGTTCTTTTTGGAATCATGAGAAATCGTTGATTTTCAGTGTTGAACAATAATGCACCGGATGTTCACTATTTACCCTTTGTCGCTCGCCTTTTTTTCATTCTTTCTCATTCAATTTCTCTCATCTTCAAAGTCATGGGCTTTTTTTGTGAAAGCCACTGACAATTTCAATATACGTACATGTAATTAAGGATGATCAACCACCATAAATGAATAAAACATGAAATTTGATTCGTACCATACTATATCAATGCATAATCAAATGGCAACGCTCTCTCTTTTCTGGTATAAATGTTTGATTGAGATATGTTTTGAATGGGAATGAAAAAAAAAACACAGACTAGGTAACTTTTGCGTCAATTTGTCGAAAATGTTATTCGAAACCGTTTTGCCATTGAAAAGCTAAAAGTTGGTAATTCAACACCGATGAAAATGAAAATAAACGTTTTTGTTCCAACCATGATTTGTAGCTCAATATAGCATTCATGCACTTTTCAATTGTTATATTATACTTTGTTGTTTTTCATTTCGTTGGCATTTTTGTGTCCTTTTTTCGGGATCAAACACTGAAACACTCTAGAATTTCATATTTCAGGCTATTTATTTGCTTATTGCATTGTGTGATTTTGGAACGCATCACACAGAAGCTTCGCTTCGATTCAATCGAAGCCAAACATCAAATAGTTCACAATTCTTGCAGCTACTGTTGGAACGGAATGGTAGACTTTAATTAAAGTAACCAACGAGTTATAGGCAGTAATTCTAACCAATTTCTAAATTTGGATCGGAAAACTTTTCAAAATTCGATGCTTAGAACGGTTATGCATCGATTTTTCAGCTCGGCCATCTACAGATTGTATCTTAGGAATGAAATTTCGGAATATTTGCAATCGATAGCGTGGATGTCTGGTATATCATCTTGAAATTTAAATTAAATTTCTTATTTTTATAGTTGAAATCGCTTAAAACCACTCAAATACAGTTGAGAGATTCTGTTCCTCCCTGCCCTGGATGACTACCGAATTTGACAAAATCAAAGTCTTTGATTCAAAGAAGCATCGAGTGTTTAATTTCCAATCCGTATCTCACACTGCGTGAGATTGTACGAAAATATCAGTTGTGATAACTTGAATAAGTGGCTGCATTGTGAGTTCAACAAGTTAATCGCTCAAAAGCTCTTGCAATCGAGAGCAACTGAGTTTTTTCTTCGTTATACTGCAGCGTGAATAATGTTCCGGTGCGATGTTTTCCGCCGAAAATCAGGGTAATGTTGAAATGTAAAATCATCATCATTAGCCTAGCAACACTGTTATTTGATTCCTTTTGTGCGTTGCATTTCACCGGGAGAATGAACGATGGAAAAAAAGGGCAATGAAATTCAATGCCATAAACGTTAGTCATTTCGGGTAAATTATAGTGTTTAAGATCAAACGCTTTTATTTTTCTGCACTTCTGGGGAATGGAAAAACGGAATCGATGCGAAACAAAGAACCGGATATTTACATATAAGCCGAAGAATGTGATTTCGCTCTTTAAATTGTGATTGTTCACTTTGTTCGCCATCATTGTTTGTAAATATATGTGTTCTCTTTCCATAATTTTGGATTGAAGTTGATGTTCTTTTCTGTCATATTGCTGCATTTTTGTCATCGTTTCCCGATAAGCATCGAAAATGTACCATTTTTCTGTGTCTCATTCGTTTGAATGTTGTTTTCAAAATGGCGTTCATATTGAACTTTTCGAGATTGTGTCTACGGTTTTGGGAACAAATTCCGTTGAAAATGATGTTTGAACATTGTGCATTGTGCAACGGTCTTAGCCAGTGCTTTTCGAATACACACTGGAGCCGTGTACAACAAAGAGCGACTACTTTTTCACTTTACTTCCCTTTTTTTGGCATTATTTTTGTTTGAAGATTCATTCAGTTTGTAATTACTTTTAAAACGTAGGTAAGTACCGTATTTATTCTGATTCGGGCCCAAAATCACAAGCTATTTTTCTCGTTTCGTTACTTCTTCTAGTCTTTGCTTTTTCTCATTCCGATTTGTTCAGATGCACAATGTGCGCTCTGGCTTCGATCTTTGAAAACGGCTTACAGGTTATTTGGGCTTTGAATTAGATAGCTTATTCGACATTACCTGAGTCTATACAACCAAAAAAAGAAAATATGTTTTTATCATCGCTTACAAACGTCCTTTTGTGCAATGGTTTTGTTTTTGATGCGCACATGAACAAGAGAAGAGAATAAAAAGCAAAGGCACACAAAGTAGAAAATCATTTGACATTTAACGAAGCAAATGCATGGCATGAGTCGTACAGCGACTAATTGAGCAAGAGCCCAGATAATGTTTCATTTAAACTGGATCAATCGGTTCAGTTTTTGCCGTTTCAGCCATGCGATTTTGATTGATTTTTTCAGTTTGCCGAGGATTTTGAGACATTTTGCGGAGGTTTTGATAGATTTTGAGACATTTTTTTTTTTTGGAAATATTGAAACTTTTTTTCGTTTCCCACAATTTTTCATTGATGCCTTTGTTTTGATTTTCATTCATTTTTCTTCGATTTTTCTCAATTTTTTCAAACTTTTTCTTGTTTGAATGATCGCAATCTCTTTTACGAAATTCAGATTTTGAAACAAATTATTTTTTCATGTTTAATTTTTATTCTATTCAGTTTCAACTACTGGATCATTCCTCATTTTGATGCAATTGAATAAAAATTTCCAACAAAAACATTTCTCTGTGAAACGGCCACGAATATTTTCTATTTGGTTTTTAGTTAAACAAATCGATTTTCAGTTAAAAATGAACCATTGATCGCTTCATTCCATCGATGTGCAAGGAATCGATGGAAAATGAAAATGGTCACCAGATTCAGCTGTGCACAATGCATTCCACTGTTTTTATCGCTTGAACTATTCGTTGTTTGAATGAACGATGACTTTCAACTTTTGAAACTTGACTCTTCAAGGCTCTTGGCTTCAAATGTTTTCCAATAATTGATAAAGCCGTTACTCAACCACGTTCCATTCGGTTGACCCAGGTATCCATTTTTCTGTTATTTTTTTTTAGGTAAGTTTGTTCTATTTCACTGAAAACTGATCGAATCGATGGGCAAAAATTTACAAAAAAACGACTCAAATTCGATTGACAGACACAAATTTCAAAATTAGAAGAAGACAGACACAAAGTTTGATAAAATCACTGTACCATCCGGAGACCTGACATAAATTTGAAATATTTCTTTCCCAATTGGATCGGGATACATCATTTGCTTCAAATGGTTTCATCGTGATAAAACAACTTCTATTTTTTACTTTTTGTGTGAAGAAGTGATTTCTTAGTTTTAATTTCAAAAAAGGTAATTTTCCAATAATATTTGCTGCAACTTACTTGATGCTGAATTCATTTTGCACCGAAAATGTATAAAACAAATCGTCGAAAAATGTGTGAAACTTCTGTTAAATCACAGAAGAAAAAAAAATAAGTTCAAAATTCACTGGTAAATTGTTCAAATGATCTTGCTTTTAGTCCTTTTTATTTGAAAACATTTTATTCATTTTCGAAAAAAACTAAACTTGGTTCCGTTCGCTGTGTATATTTTGCACAAAATAAACAAAAAATCCAAACAAACAAAACTGTGCTGGCGACAACAGAGGAGTTAAAAAATATAGAAGTCAATCTGCGACGAAACTTTTCACTAAATGACGTGCGCAATCTCAGTCAGCAATGATTTTTAGCCAGCAGCTGATTGAATTTCTGGAATTAGTCGAAAGCCAAAACCTATCCATTTCAACAATAGACGACACCATGATTCTTTTTCTTCTTCTCTTCTTCATCTCTTCGCTTCGCTTTGCTTTGCTTTGCATTAAGGACGAAACCATCAGAGACACAGGATATAGTTGTTGTGTGTGAAAAAAGGCAGAGTAAATCACCGAAAATAGAATGTTGAACATGCAAAAGAAGGCGTCAACAATTTCGACATTGTTGTGCCCTTCATTCCGTCATTCGTAATGGGTATTGTTAGTTAGGGTCATAAAATCCCTAAATAGTTTGCCAGTGGTGGAAAGAAAAATGGAATCGATACGAGAACGCGAATGTGAAAAGATAATGGGAGCGACAGAGAAGGACGATATCTCTTAATGGTGTTGGAACGAATTTGAAAATGATGCGTAGCAAAAAGTGGGATGGGAAATCTGAACATCTTTATGAAATAACAAGGGAAGAAAAAAAAAACTTGTTTATATTCCCGTTGACTGCAGAGCACCGATTTGTTTTTTTGTTCATAATGATCACCATCAACATAGGTGAATGTATGCGTGTGTAGCATCCCCACCCGTTTGTCGAACGCAATTGTTGAAAATTTTTGATTTTCGCCTTTTTCACTTTGTGATTTAGCTTTGTGATTTATGAACATTGAAATATTCCCTTCAATAAAACTCTCAACAATGACTGCAGTATAGACGGCAACGTTTTTTTTCTCTTTCCTTTCCTGCTGCATTCATTTTTACCCACATTCAATGTATAATAGATAAGCATGGATTGTGTGTCTGTGTCTTGCATCGAGAGATCTAGATCAGCAACAGGAAATATATGGGAGTCATCACAAGCATAAATGTGCAAACATTTCAATATTCGCTTTTCCTAAGTACAGATCACACTCGATTCGGTTTGAAGCAATTCGAAATAATGAGAATAAAAATATGTAATGGCATTTTTGTATAGAGAAAGAAGACGGTAGTTTGTAAAAAGGATGAAGAAATCAACGTTTTTTAGTCTTCTTATTTCATTCGCTTTGTATTTACGGAAACCTTATATTTCACTGATCTATTTTCAGGTTTATCAACATTGAGAGATTGCAATTTGCACCAAATTCGGCTCTTCTTTGCTTAACGAAGTTAAATTACGAACAGTTTGTCTTCTTTCAAAATGCTTCAGTCTCCAAAATACCTCTTTTGAACAGTAAGGAACGACACTGATTTTAAAAAAATTCGATTGAAAATTCGACTTTAAATGAAAATTCACTATTCGCTTTATCCACACCAAAACGAAAGGTTACCTACCAACTATCGAATTTTCCTTCATTTTTGGCCGCACTATATTTTATCCTCAGCCCCGGCGGATTCATTGTTCACAATGGTGATGCCGTGTAGGCAACTCAGTCGATTGAAATCACTTAGTTTTGTTAAGCGTTAAAATTAGCCAGCAACAAAGGAGAGAGAGAGAGAGAGAGAAAGAGCGAACGAGGAAATAAAGGAGAAAACAAGGTAACGCATGGTTACAGTACTCATCCCCAATAATTAGAATCAGTACGCGTCAGTTAATAGATTGACGTTCGTATTATGCATCAATTCACGCATAGATAAACGAGGAACGAGAAAGCGAGTGAATAAAAAAACGAGAGTAATTTTGGGCTTTAATAGGTGCGGAGACAATGTTGCAGCTGTCTATTTGGTTTATTGTCGAAATTTGTTGTTTTTTTTCGTTTTCAAAGAGTCTAAATAAACTGATTCGAACGAATGGTTTGACTTTATGTGCCTTTCCTCTCGCTTCTTCAATTAACCGACAACTTTGAGCAACATATTCATCAAGCAAAAATACACGATGGCAACTGTAATACAATTCAAATGAACGTTACGATTGCAGCATGGAATTATGACAGTTTAATACTTCTTCAGAATTTCTTCAACCTTTTCCGCATTTTCCTATTCATTTGGTAAATTGGGACAAGCGACCACTTGAGATTCTTTTCTAAATCCAAAATTAATAACTGGAAATCGAAAAAAAAAATTCAAACCCAAAATTAAATAACATGGAATCGAATATGAATCCAAAACGAAGACGAAATTTGTCGAGTCTCATTTTTGAAGCAAAGCTCGTCTCGGCAAATGCAATAATACATTTTTATGATGAATAACGTGGATATGTGGTCAAAATGCCGAATTTCTGATTTCACAATTGATGAACATGTATGTACAGGTACACAGTCGAATGAATAACCAATTATGAAATTTGTACGTGAATTGCGAGTCAATTGAAATGAATGCGGTTTTTGGCAAAGAAATTAAGGCCATGTCTGTCAGTGATGAGTTCGTGTTAATTTGTCGACGATCCGATTGATAGGCCATTTGGCTACTGAAGAAGCGTGATTTATGAGTCACTACCATACATGTCTAAGAAAAATGCAAACAACATTGTCGGTTTTTTGTTTTTCGGTATTTGAATTTCATTTTTTTTTATTATTCTTTTCCTATTTTATTTTGAGTATTATTTTTTTTCAATACAATTTACATTTTGCAATGAACAGTTCTTGATTTGTGTGTGTGGTTTGATTTTTTTTTTGCTTTTTATGTGAATTTCTACTACTTGTGTTTCGTGCAGCATTAATATTTTATTTCATAATTTGCTAAAAAGAAAGCAGAAAGAGAAAAAAGTGTCGATATTAAAAGGTTTCTTCTGTGTGTTTTTTGCAAACTACTTGTGGTTTCTATAAAATTGTTGAGTTTTTTTTCTGAAAGCGACAGAAATAAAGCGTTTGTGTGTAAAGTATCTGAATTTGATGTGTGTACATTTTTGATGAATTTCGAATTACACATATAAAACAAAACAAAAAATAGTACTAAAGAGAAAACAACATAGTACAAAAAAGACGATAGTTATTTATGTTTGCTTCACATATTTTTAGAAGCAAGACGAAGTAAAAAAGAAATAATAAAAACGGACGAAGAAAAAAAAAACTACAGCAAATAAAAAATAATTTGGAACGGTTTTTCTAAGCTTTGTTGAAACTGTAACTGAAACCATCTGGCGTCCTGCTCAATGATAATTTACCTGTAAACGATGAAAATAAAAAGTTGGATAAATTTCGATTGGTTTATGATTCGATTGAAATTGATGATCAATTTCGCGCGCCAAAAGCTAAGAAGAAAAACGAAACGAGTTGATAAGTCTCAATTACCTGGTGGTTGGAATCGGTGTGGATTTGGTGTTGTCGATTGGTATTGGGCAACGTAGTTGATGTTGTTTTGGTTGTAGTTTGGCTGTGGTTGAGGTGCTGCCTGTTGTGGTTGTTGTGCTACGTATTGTGGCTGAGGTTGTGCAGCTGGTGCAGTGTAGTGGTGATTTTGGTTTCCTTGGAAGTGTGGATCATTGTAACGTGGATCGTATTGTCCATCATCAAAACCGTCAGCACCACCCAAATCGTAGCTCTTGGCCTGGGCATTGTATTGAGCGGCTTGTTGAGCGGCTAATGTTGCATGGGCTGGTGCTGGTGGAGCGACTGGCAAATGATCACCACTTGCTTGGAATCTGCAACAGAAAAAAAATTGTGAACAAAACACACACACACAACGACACAAAAATGAAAATTAAAATTGAAAATCGGATTTGAATTTTTCAAAAGCCGTAAAATCCAAATTTCATTATATATATGATCTTGCATTATCTATGCTATTTTCTTTCATTTTCGTAACATTTTTTTCATATTTTACACCGAGCATATTGAAACCGGTTGAAAATTGCGACCGTAAATAACTTCACATGCCTGATTGATTATATGGAATATTAGATAAATGGCCACAACAACAGTGAATGTGTATCGAAATAAACGAAATCAAAAAGCAACAGCAGCAGCAGCACACAACACGCGCGCGTCGAATTCAATCGCGAATTGATATTATACATTGGGTATTTCTCGCCTACGGATCCTTTGTCTTCACAATGAAATATCACGTCTTGCATGTTTCACAAACAATGTGTGCTCGTTTAACCACACTGACTCGTTCAATTCTTTGCGCACTCTCTCTCTCTCTCTCTCTCTCTCTCTCTCTCTCTCTCTCTTGCTCTTGCTCTCGTTCATTTTCTTGTGCATTTCCGTAATTCACCGTGTTGCATTTGAAATGGGCATTAATTGCATAATGGGGAAAAAGTGCCAGCTGTTCCGTCGATTATGATTTCAAATAATCTGTGTATCTGAGTGTGTGATTGCAATGGCTTTTTGAACAAGTATTAAATTATTTGTCTGTAACACACAAGAGAAGAAAAAAAGAAAATTTCGGATCAAATCTCGTTGCTCATATGCATACACATATATACGGTGATGATAGGCAAAGGTATTGTTGAAATTAGAAAGAGATTTTATTCGAAAGAGCAAAAAAAAAAAAATCTTATGTAGGAGATTGTGAAGAGAAGTAAAACATCGTGTTGGAAATTGGCCGATTTGTAATCGCGCACACACACTCTCCATGCATGCATTAGAAAGCAACATACAAAGAAGAGATGTCTCACTATTTATTACAAAAAAAAATTACATAAAATTGCATTGAGTAATTAAAGCGGTTGGTATCGTTACCATGCATTGAGGATGTAATGATGACATTACATCTCTTCGCCATTAGTTCGATGGCGGCCGACCAAACGATTTTCCATATATGCTGGGTGTTGATTAATGCCCACCAATCATCGTGTTCTTTTCATGTTGGTTTTTAATTGATGTTCTTTTAATCGAGTAGTTTTTCTTTGTGTGCGCAAATGTGTTAAAAACACAACAACGTGATGAAATTGATAACGAAACAACAACAAAACAAATTGCAATGATTTTGATATATTGTTAAAGAACACATTCACTTGAACTAATCACCAGTATATGTTTATGTTATGCACATAGTATAACGTCTCTATGCCAATATTTTTTTTTCTTTCTTTCTTCATTCCCTCGATTCATTACCTCATATGCCACGTAATAACTATTATCATATATTATCATGGTGGCTAATTCGCTGATATGTACAACAATTTAACATTCAACTAGTTGTGGCTAATGTTGGGCACTATACAGTACATACATGGTCGTTCGTTTTTTCTCTCTCTCTCTCTCTCTCTCTCGGTTTTTCGTATTTTTATCAGTACTTGTATGCACTCGACCAGGAAATAAGAGACTTTCTATCAACAAAATGTCGAACATGATTACATGCAACCAACGCACATGGTCAAATTAATTCCTTCACTTCATTCGCTGAGTGTGAGTGTGTGTTTTTCTCTATGTGTGTGAATTCCGTTTTGAAAGGGAAAATGGAGCGAGTAGCTTGTTTTTCTGCTACTGCTGTCTTTTTCTTTATCAAAATGCAAACACGTCAGCATAGCAATAACGGCTATCGATCAACAAAAAGAGTTTCACATTCTCGTCCGTTTGTTACCATCTAAACTATACTCCTTTTTGCTATTTATCCGGTCGTCGTTCGTGCTTAACAAACGTTCGATTCCAGTGCGCGTTCAACTTTCATTTTTTGTTTCTTGCTGTGTGTGTGCGCGTATGAGAACCGACTTGTTTGCAAAATCATATTCAATCAACTCGCTATTCTAAGTGGCCTTAGAGATTATGGACGCCAGAAGAGATTAGCATTAATTAAGTTCTTCTTGTACACAAACAAAATATGGCTCACATAGAATAATAGAGTCTAATTCTTTGCAATTGTTTGAAATTCGTTGCGTTTTTTCTTTTGCTACACATTCAGAATTTAGACTCAAGTGAACTACTTTTCAAACCGAATTAGAGTAAATATCAGTGAAAAATTCGAGGCGCATATTTGAGAACGTTTCAATGAGAAGGAGGGAGAAAGAGCTTGAAAGAATGAAATGCGATGAAAGAAGATTGAACTGCATTTTTTTTTTTTTCAAGAATCTATCGATCTTTTCGGGAAGAATACAAAGGTTTTGTCAAAAAGAATTCAAAATTGAAGAATTTAATTTTATTCATGAAGAATTCGGCTTTATTTTCAAGAAGAAGCAGAAATATGGAAAATCACAAAGTTGAAGCGTGCAAGAAGTTTGTTTCGAAGGAAAAATCTCATCGAAGAAGGAAGAAGGAAGAAATTGCATAGAAAAAAGCAGAATTTGAAAAATCATTCGAATCTTCTTTGGTATTCTCTTCAAATTGTGATAAAATTGTCATCTTTAAGCGATTTCTGTGGAATATTATTGCAGTGACAAATAAGATGCAATTTAAGCGCAAAGTCAATGAAAATGAAAATCGACTGCAATTCGTCGGATCAAGCAACCACACACACACACACACAGAGTGTATATGGAATACATAGACTTTGTGAAAAAATAAAGTTTTTACCCATTTTTGCCAGCGGTATAATAGAGGGTGCGTTTCTGTCCATTTGCTTCGACATAAGAGTATTGTCCGTGACGAGTTCCATCAGCATCAGTCTCTTCCTTGAATTCTATTCCGTCTTCTTGTACGTAGGCATTTCCAAATTGACCATCACCCTGTAAGTAACGCTGTTCGCTAATTATAGCAGCGTTCTTTGAATCTGGATTGTATTGCCCTTGTACACTGAGCGCAAGCACCGAGGCTAACACAATCTGTAGCCGCCGACCGCCAAAAACAGGACGAATAGAACCGGAAAAAAAAGAGCACATGTTTGGTTTTTAATTCAAAAATTGCGATGCACTGTATACATGTCACGGATTTGAAAGAAAAAAAAATGATCTGGGACAAAAAGGAAATTGCACATGAATTTTGTTTTTGTTAGCCCGGAATGGCCAGATCAAACTCTCTCCAGAAGCTTTTCTTCGTCTTACGCAAGAAGCTTAGAACAATACTCACAAAACGGAACATTTTCCTTGGTTGAACGTTTACAAGCGGAAAAAAAGGAAAAAAGAGTTGAAGAAAAATTCACGTTCCAAATGATAAATAGAACCGTGTTTGCACTATATATATTTTTTGTAAACTGCTATTGATCAACGTAGTTAATAGCCTTTACTTGGTAAAAACCGTATATAGCTTTTTTTTTCTCTTCCCCGAACTGACCGATCGAACGAATGAAACTGAATGGTGAGCCATTGAATGAATTTTGGTTTATATATCAAAGTATTGAACCTTGATTACCCCGGCCTATTGTTACAAATAAAAAAGAGGAGAGAAGAGAAGCGAAATAAAAAACAAGCTTGAAGTGAAGCAGCCAGCCAAAGCCACACGGTAATGGACAAGAAAGTGTACACACACTCACACATACATTACCATATTATTTTTTGTGTTTTTTTTTTCTTCATTTCTTTCGTTTAATCATTTTTATGTCGTGTGCAGTGCATGTTGTTCAATACACTGTCTTTTGCACTGGCATTTTTCAATTGGTGTGTGGCCAGGCTGTTTATCATAATATTTGTTATGGCGCTATACTTTTCAGTGTGCGCACTCTCGTTCCCTTCCAGTGCTCATATTTTCTTCTTTCGCTCTTACCTTTTGTGCCCAAGCACGCGCACGCACACGCGCGCACACACACACAATATTTTTCTGTGTGATCCGCAAAGTGAACGAGTTATATTGTTTTCTAATATTACCTACAAATCAATCGAACATAGAGAAAGAGACAGAGAGAAAGACGAAATTAAAGAAACTAATACAATTTTCGCAAAATTTCATTTCATACTTGTTTGGATTTGGTTTTTACATCGATTTTGATACAATTTTATTTTTTCGTTGCTGCGTTTGGTTTCGAAATCGGGACTTTTGATAAAAATTAGCAAGCATAAAACACAAAAATGTGTAATGGCAATTTCGATGTGCACACACAACGGACAGTTTGTGTGTTTGTTGTTGTTGGCGGCACGGTTTTCGAACCCCAAAACCAAATGCTTTTTGTTATTGGTGGTGTGCGCGTGCGCCCATGCTGTTATTATTGCTGTCCGAGCACAAGCGGGCTTCGAAGCGTTGTCCGAGCAGAAAGACTTGCTTTGGTACACTTTGGATTTAGTTGGCTAAATTTTATGAATACGAGTATATGTGTGTCTGTGACGTATGCGTTTATGCATGCACTTCATAGAGAGCAATTACATAATATATATAACACGTCTAACTCAAAAAAAAAATGATATAATATACACTACACAGCATAACTGAACTGTACGCTGTTAATATTTCCTATTGGTAAGCAAGACACATTTCTGTGTCTAATGGCTTTGTTTTCACTCTGTATGTGTGTGTCTATCGGACGGTCGGTTGTTGTGCAGTACTTGGGCCTTTTGTGAATCTATTGCAATACTGTATCCAATTTAAATTTGGCGTTTCGTTTTCGGTTTGGTCACTTACCATTTTTAATTTCAATAACATTTTTTTGATAACTCAAGCCTTACGATCGAATCTTGGTGCAACTATTTCTCTTTCGTACGGTATAAAATGAACAAGAGTCAATGTTGAATTTTTTGGCTTGATATTCGATCAGAATTGACTTGTTTTTTCGCTCTCGATTTTTTATTTTTGCCCATATTTCATCGGTAAGACTGACATTGTTAATTAGCTTGAAATGTTCATGAAATTGAATTAACGATGTTACGATCTTCAATCTATTGAGGTATTGATTGAACCAGTACTCCAAACATGAGTTGAAACGTTTTAGTGAATTTGATTTGGCGTTCTTTGATGCATTCAGATCAATTCGATTCCATTGAAAGTGACTTAAGCGATCAAGTAAAACCGATTGACCTAAGCAATGACTAGAAATACTGATGCAATCCATACGATCGATTTGGTGCAATCAAAACAAGAGTTCGACTGCATCTCACCCACACGCACACGCACACTCACACCATCCATGCATGCCGAAACAGTAACAAATCGCATGGCCAAAGGAAAAAGCATTGGCGATGGCATTAATCTTGACGTATTATTCATCGTGATTGTACGTACACTGCTGTGTGATAAATTGGCGTGCATCCGTGCGGCACATGTTGTCCAGTTTAAATCGATATGTCGATGTTTGCCTTCGGAACCATCTCAATTCGTTCACTCTTTGAACTTTTCTTCTTGTCATCTCATATTGCTGCGCGCGCTCTCGTTCGCCACGCAAAAGCAGTTCACACAATTCTTCGGCTAATAAATCGGTATAGAACATGCAGAAGAGAATGAAAGAGAGAGAAAAAAAATGGTATAAAACACGGAATTAATGCCAGTAGTTTTCTTGTTACGTTAAGTGGCCACTTGAATGATGTGAATTGAATGTGGTGTGCGCGAGCGCTTGCGCTTGCTCGTTTATGCATTGGGTACGGCCAGGCATTTAACTTGCTTGAAGTTCACCTTGAGAGAGTAAGAACTCTACAGGTTTTCGCGATCAATATTTATTGTCCTTACTTCATTCATTTCACTTTCAAAACGTATGGAAAGGTATTGAGCTTCTTAATTCTCTTTAATTAAGTGTATCCATATAAAGTATTGGGTTTGGTTGGTTAAATCAATAACAGAATGAATGGAGAAAAAACAACAACAAACATTTGCGATTTATTGTCATTGTGAAGGAGAAGGAAAAGCCAACCAATTTGGTTGTCTGTTCTTACTTCCAGTTGGAAGTGTGCAACATGGAAATTATACAGCATAGCAACAATGACTTGGCAACACTTTGCCATGCGAATATGTTGCATGCAATTTAAACGGGATGTAGAACAATTTCATTGGTTTTCCGCTATCTTTTCTTTTCTTCATCAATCTGATCGTTTATTTTTCCATTGCTGCTGGTTGCTGTTGTTATTCAAGCTTCTTCCAACGTGGCACCGTCAATCATTTAGATATATTATAACAATTAGCAAACCGCATACTAACTTAACATGCCACATACCAATCTCACATCTCTGACGAAAATTGAGTTAAATACAAGTTTGCAAACAAACACAAAAATGAAGAGAAAAAAAAACAAATTCCATAAATAAATAGAAATTAATTGTAGTCAACTTTCTGAATTCAATTGTTGATTGGCTTGGTTTTTAAACTTGTTTTGTTTTTGCTTTTTCAGTTATACTTTATTACTTTCTAGCCAGCAACACGAATGAAGAAAAAATAAAAATAAAATAAAACCATTCATCCCTAACTAATTACAGTATTGCGGCTAATTTGGAATTGTCGGTGTGTGTGTGTGTGGCGTGGCTGACTGGTTGGCTATTTTTGTACTTGCAAACACATTATAACACACCGAAAACCAATGCACTTTAAATTCATGTCTTTAATGCTCAGTACTATCGAATCACCGCACATAAATTGATTTGTTTTTTTTTGAGTGATTTTTTTTTTGCTGTCGTGACAAACAGCAATGACAGTGTCGTCGTTAATTTTTGCCATCAGATTTAGAAGATCAAGATAAAGTTCTATCAAATGCACTCTTTTCATCTAAATCAAATGCATTTTTCGCAAACATTTGGCCCAAATTTTTGATTTTTGGATTTGACAAAATGCATTCCGATTTGAGATTTGTTTCTTTCCCTTTTTCAAAGATTAAATTTGATTGATTGAATTTGATTCTATTCCAGAACATTTTCATTAGTTGATACTTACAACAAGTTTAGTTTGGAAAATTAAAATTTTAGCGGTAAAAATGACGTCTCGACACTGCAGAGAATGTTTTTTTTCTTTATCAAAGAAGATTGGCACGTGACGCTCTAAAAAATTGTGCAAAACTGGGTAAAATGCCAAAAACCTTAGTTTTTGCGTCATATACGTCATCATTTAAAAAAAAATTCGATCAAGTCATTTTTGTAATAAGATTTGTTTATTATTTTGTTTATATTCGGTTTGAAGACGGCTTCATTTTTCTTTATCCGTTGGAAAAATAAATATTGAGTAGAAATTAAAGCGAATTTTGACTAAACTATCGACATTACTTGGATAATAATACCAAGTTTTGAATAAAAAGATTTCCCTTCATACATGGGTTGAATTTCAGTAAAAATCAAAGTGCATAATACCATCGACTATGATGTAAGTAACAGCGATTGTGGTAGATAGATCGGTCGACCGTTGCTAGAATAGGAAAAAAACAACATTGTTTGCATTGGTTCGCAAAACAAATAATTAAGAAAAACGACTGTATACTGTGACAGTCTATTATTATCGAAATGGAAAATGTAACAAACGTATTTTGTCAATGCATAGGAATAATGTGCGGCATATACTTTTAGCCCTACGCCCGGCACTCATACAATTATTCTCACATCGAGCACAAAGAACTATTATAGTCATTTGGCCTCACCTCTGCCACACACTCTTGCTTGTACATATACATTTTGTTGCGATGCTCTCACAATGCTCATTTCATATGACAACGGGAGAGTGAAAGAGAGGGCGATCACTTATTTTTGCATTTGTGTTTGTTAATACCGATGATAATCTACATGCTTGTATTCTCCAAAGTATCTTCATTAATCCATATTATCCCAAAAAGCTATTGCCTTCATTTGCAGCATGCACTCGTTTCAGCCATCAACGGCAAAATGTACACTCGCAATAAATTAAACAACATGGTGGAATCACACCGAATGCCATACACATATATTCCATTTTTAAACACAAAAATAGCAACCTTTTAACCGTTTTTTTTCTCATTCGCAGAACAATGCTTAGAGTTACTTGAAGATTAACTCGGTTGAAAGGAAATAAGGGATAATAAGCGAATTGATTAAACGTTCACTTTTTTTCTTAGCTTGCCGACTTTTTGCTTCTTTTGCTGAAATCAAAAGGAATATATAGAGAGAGAGAGAGAGAGTGAGCAGGAACAATGGAGAAATATTTGGATATCAGATGGTTTTCAATTTGATATCAGAAATTCACAGGAATTTGAATTCATGAATGCATTGAATTGAAGTCGAAAAAAACGCATTAAATACAAATTTATAGAAAAAAGTGAATGAAACAAAATTTTTTTTTAATACTATCGAAAATATCAAAACGAACGAAATTGTTGCAGTAAAAAATGGAAAAGAACAGTTGAAAATCGAGTGTTTTAATTTAAAAAAAAAGAAACAAAATTCCATTGATATCAGAATCGACATAGTTGACTGACTGACTGATATTAGAATGAATTTAGTTCTATTTCATGTTTACCACCCCGTTCGCCATTTTCTACTCGATCGACGGCTGTAGAAGGGCACGACCATGGCTTTATTCAATGCTGCAGGCGATTTGAACAGAAAATGACCAAGGTTTGTTAATTACAAAAACAAATCGTTTAGCCACTGCAAATAGTTGGTCATTCGAATGGTCAATCGCTTGGAAATGTCCCTCTTTTGAACATATTTCAGTATAGATGAATAAATGCTAGATGTATTGAGCTGAAAATCCAAAGATTAAAAACTTACAACTAAATGATAGAAATTCCTAAATTAATGACTAGATAATACAAATAATTTTCTATGAATGTCATTTGAAGATAATAATTTTGTGAATTTGGTAAAATTTGTTGCATATTTGAACTGCCTGGGATGAGAAGTTGACTTAAACAATTTATTCCCAAAAGTGGAGCATGTTTACCGAAAAAAAAGGATGTTGGTTTCGTCGAACGCAAAAGAGAGTTTGTAATATTAAAAAAAATCGCATTTGTGTACTTACGTTTCAGAATACCTTTTTTGCATAAGATGGATCAAAGTCTCGTTTTTTACAAATAGTTCACAAAAATTAGCCTCTCAACTAGGGGCTTGGAACAAGTTGTAAGATTCGTATACATTCGTATAGATTCATACGTTCGCGGCTTTGTTATTGTTGTTGTACACTCACTATGCTGCGAATGTCTCGTATACAGATTCGTAGGAATTCACGAAAATTCGTACGAACTCGTCTCAAGCGCTTGTGTTCTTTGCCCCTAGCCTCTCAATTCATTTCAAATGAATCATTTGACTTATAGATTTTAAGTCAAATATATGATGTCGGCTAAGCCGACTCGGCTGGGTTCCCCTTGCGACCTCTGAAAAACAGTAATAAGTTGTGCAAGTTGTCTACGCGCATCTTTGTCGCCGCTGTCATCACCACACACGTTTGATGGCGATAAAGATAAGGAGGGAAGAAAGATCAAAGAAAAAAAAGGAGAAGAAAAACACCATCAAATGTCCACTTTTGCAACTATTTATTTTCGTCTACAATATTCACATTTGATTTGAAAAATTCGAACTACACCAGGCGAAATAAAAAATAAAGAAATAATAATAATAACAATTTTTTTTTCTAAATCAATCTGCCAATAAATAACCCGTTTGCATCTAACGCAGAGCACAATCTACACAGAAAAAAACAAACTCACATTCTATATATTTATGTACACACCGTTTGAGTCGTTTGTGATGGGAAATTGGTGAAAATTTCGCGTTTCATCAACAAGCGAGCACGTCTCTAGTCAAAGATTCGAAAAAAATAGTTTTATAAAATAAATTGCATTTTTGTTTATCATCTAAAAAATTATTATAATATTCTATACATGTCAATGGATTTTTTTCGTGTTTTTTCCTACTTCTTTTGTGTTATATATGGTATATGCTATAACTACAGAAATTCGTACACGTTCTATAGGGCATTTTGAGAAAACATTTTGGGAGAGATATATTATTTTACTACAAATTGTAATCTAGCACCAAAAAAATTAGATTGTCATGTGGTTTTCCTTGATTTTCAATGAAATCAATTGGATTGGTTAAATAGGAATCTCATTGAGAAACCCTCCTAAAAAAAAAACAAAGAAATAATTTTTTTTTCAAAAATTGTGATACTATTCATTTCACTCAATATTATATTCACTAATGACTTAAGGTCGATTCGGCGCTTCTCTCACGGGGAAGGGGGCGGACGGATGACTGGTTTATACATCAATCATTGGACAAAAATTTCAAATCTTTTTCATTTTTCGCTCGAATTTTTTCGTTTTAGTTTTGTTTTTAGACTATTTGCATGTTTAAAATTACACATGAGCATAAATACTACTTACACATTAATTACACTTTCCCTAAAAAACGAAAATTTCTTAAAATCATTCATTCGGCACAGAGGAAAAAAAAGTATTAAGTTCATTCATATTTTAAAGCTTTCACTAAACGAATTCACTAAATTGGTCAGTTGTGTGCATGTGTGTGTGTGTGTGTGTGTGTGTGTATTGTGTTCAGTGTAATTGATATTCTATGGATTTTTGAATTTCAAACTGGTGTGGATTTGGTTTGTTTGATCGTTTTCGTGGCGGTAAGTATGGTAATGATTGTACTGGTGGATGATTCGAATGATTGTCGTTGACATGTTTCAGTGTCATTGTATGATATAAATCCAATGGTTGTGCATCAATGTGCGGTGTTTGTGATAACAGTGGTGGTGATGATGAATGTGAATTGAATGTTGTCGATACCGATTCAATTGATGGCGGTGGAACAAGATGCCGTTGCAACTCTGGGCTAACAACGGTTTTTTGAATTAAATACGGCGGAGGCGGTGTTGCCGATTGATGTAATCCATTGTGTCCATGATCGCTGCCACCGTATGTATCCTGGGTGATTTGTTCAAGTGGACCGAGCTGAAATGTATATGTGGATGTAACCGATGATTTGATCGGTTTAAAATTCGGTATATACGGATCTTTTGGTATATTGTATTGTGTAATGTGTTGTGGTGTTAATTTTGTATCAGGTATAAAATTGTCATCGTCAATTGTTTGTATTGCATTGTCTTTAACGGCCAATTTATTGGGTAATTTCCGTAAAAGTAATTGTAATGCTTCGATCGCTTTTTGATTTGCATCAAATGTCGTGAGTTCGTTGTCTGTCTCAAGTCCAGGTACAGAAGATGTTCCGTCATGTTTCACATAGTGTTGATCTTGTTCTAAAAAAAGAGTTTTAGCGAATGAAGGAGGGAGTATTTTCGATACGGTTAGTTAAATTATGACAAAAAAAAATATTTGACGAAAAAAACAACAACAAATAAATTCACTCAGTATCTATAAATATAAGAAAAGCAAACAAATTGAGATGTGAATGATCTCAATCGACATTCATCATGCAAACATTTTTGTGTGTCTATTGCGAATAAAAAAAAAAAAACAAACAAAATCAGTGCAAATAATTCATACAACAACAATAACAGCATATTCGAAAGAGTGTAAAACCATTGAATAAAAAGTGAGAGATAGAAAGAAAAGCAGAAGAAAAATTCAAACTTTAAAAAACAAACTAAAAAATATATGGTAGATATGGTACTTTCCTTGAAATCCAACGATACTTATCATCATCGTACTACTACAATTGATAATAATCGAGTCTGTGTGTTTTTTTCTTTCTTTCTATTTTCATTTGAATTACTCATCAAATAAAACAGATCTTTCGTAATAATTTTCTTTTCATATACATCCAATTTGTCTCTCTGTGTGTGTGTGTATGTGTGTGTTCTCGACGGGCTTATCTTTTATCATGTTCGTGAGTTTGTTTATCTCGCGCGACTCAATTTTTTTTCATTTCTTGCATTTTCATTTTGGATTTTTTCTTTCTTTCTTGTGTGGTTTTTTCTCTATGTTCTCATATTCATTTACCTGAATATGAGGAATAAGATTTACCTTTTCTATCTGTGCTTATATAATTCGTAATGTGCGAATGAGGAGTATCGATAAGCGGTGGTGGTCCATATTGAGCGTGAGCTTGTGGTACTGGATAATGATTGTCATAGGCTACGTCTACCGGTAAATATGGGATCGGAGGTTCTGGTGCATAACCAGTAATTTCATGTGGCTGAGCATATTCTACGAGTTCATCATGACCGAAACTTGTGTAATCTGTAGTTTTGTGTGAATTTTGAGGGAGGGTATATTGGTTCGATTTAGATTTTGGTTTTCGTTTTCGTTTTTTTTTTTTTGGTGCATTAAGCCAATCATTGTTTTTTGTGTATGTGAAATGTGTTTGTGTGTGTGGAAAAAGCAAAGCAATTACGAGAAAAAAAGCAATTGTTTTGCCCGTCCAATGCAGTATCTCTAACGTGTCAACTTACCTTCATGTGGAATGCCAGCGGGACCAGACGATGCAAAGTATTTATGTTTCGATGCATCTGGCGGCAATAATTTGGCTGACAAAGCGATTTTCTTTCCAACTCCTGTCACAGCATCACCAGATGCGGCGATCAACTGCAAAAGTCACATTTTTTTTTGACGAATGAGTGAAATTTTTTTCCAATTGAAATAAATACAAATATGTTTCAAACTATTTTTTGAATGACTTGCACGTTTTTTTTTCTTTTTTCATATTACCTTTCCACCGCTGCTTAATGCGTAACCACTGCCTTTGATGAGTTGACCCTTAATTGCTGTAACGCCACCGGTGATCGCTTTCACTGCTTGGAATAATGTATTCAAAATGTTCTTCTTCAATTCCCATCCATCAAAGTAGACTTCCTTTTCCTATGACGAATAACAAAAGCACGCAATAATCAAAATTGAGTTACGTAATCGAAATATGTTCAGTTGGGCCGAACCAAAAAAATTTTACCACTGGTTTTTCATGTGCAAACGCTTTCGATGACGATGTTCCCGATGAGGCTCCAGCTGATGATGCCGACGCTTTTCCTATCGATGATGTAATCGACTGTAAAATGCAAATAAGAAGAAATAAGAACCAAAAACAAATCAATTTGCAAAAAATCGCCACAATCGATCATTTAATTTGCTGCTTAAGTAGCGCTTGCTCCGATTACAAATGACGACCAAACTCGAAGGCTAAACATTCCAATTTCGTATACATTCTATACTCAGTGTTGTGGCAAATGTAAATTGTCGGTCTTGACACCATCCATATATTATCATGATTGCTATGAATGTAGATCAGTATGAGTTTGTTGTTGCATCTGATATTTCTTCATTCGTTTCAGTGGTGAAAGTGACTTTTTGTCACAGTAAATGGTACGTGTCTTATGGGAATATACATATTCTTATGGATAATTATATTCAACGGCTATATCGATAACATAAATGTTATGTATTTCTCGTTTCTTGTGCGACTTACGCTTTTGATTTTTCCCAAAAAGTCGGGGCTACCTCGTTTCGCTCGCAAATGAATGCTATGGCTTTCGTATGGATATTTTGTGGCGGCTGCGACCAAGTTTGAGCACTCTATCATAACCAATAGCACGCAAATCGTTGTAACGAATTTTAACTGAAATAAAAATGAAACAAACAAAAATGATATGATATGATACAATAGTGATTGAATTGTATTTGGATTAAAAATAACGAAACAAAACCAAAACAACAACAAAAATAATGATAAAAAATCAATCGCTTGATCAAAATACAAATCACAAAAGAGAGGAATAATAAAAAAAATTGAAGCTAATAATAGAATCGACCATTACCGATCGAAATCGAAATGTCCAATTGAGTATTGAATGAAACCACATAAAACAATCAACAAATGAATTGTTGGCTTTTACGCGAAAAACACAACGTTTTTGCCACAAGAATGCGAACAAACGAACAGTCCAACAAAACAACGACCGAATTTTTTCGTTGCCAGTATTTTTTCTGTAAAAATCCAAAATGTAATTTATGAAGAACAGAATGGTACGTGAAGTAATTTCGACACCAATTTTTAGCACTACATGAAATGTAGAGCTACTAATCTGCGTTTTTTTTTCTAA